TCTAAAGGACACCAAATAATCGCCTATGACTCACACCGTTACACAGAAGTATCGCGAAGGAACCAGTACGTGACAAGGATTTCTACGCGATTTCATGTGGAGAGAGGAAGTGCCGGCATTACTTGTACGGCAGGCACTTCACGGTTCAGACGAATCACCAAGCCTTGACAGCCCTGCAGAGGCATTTTCAGTACTGAGATAATGAAAGAGTTGCTTAGGCGCTTTTCTAGCTCACGCAGTACGACAACACAGTCAAGCATATCAAGCGGTTCACCAACGTTCTCGGTGCCGCAGTCTCCCGACACCTAACCAGTCAGATATTGCGCTCTGCAACTGCAGTTCTCTGCGATGATTCCTGTTTNCAGTCTCCCGACACCTAACCAGTCAGATATTGCGCTCTGCAACTGCAGTTCTCTGCGATGATTCCTGTTTCCTGTGCATTACGTTCTTCTTGCCCCTCTGGCATTCACTTGGTTACGGTTCTTTCCAAGCTCAACGGGTAAAAGGCTAGGCAGTACAGCATAGAGTGCAACAATTTGTGGTACCAGACGAAGCATGGGCTCCACAGATTATACGTTCCACCTTCGCATTGCAGGGGCATTTCGGGAAAGAGTACACGATCATGCTTTAGCTGGCGATTTTGGCGCCAAAAGACTAGTGGAGAGGAATGACGCGCCCTTCCTTTTAGAGGCCTACGGTGCACTCGTCAGCGAACAATCTTGTTCTCAGTTGTCCGGAATACGAACAGCTAAAGCCGGCAACCATCACCAGACCTGGACTTTTGCAAAAGCTTCAGATATCTCAACGAATATTGACGCATATCTTAACGGGCTTCATAGTGTGTTCACCACCGATTAGAGGGTGTGATAGCATACACGTTGTCGCGGGTAGAATCAGCTACTACACCCAATTCAGCNACCACCGATTAGAGGGTGTGATAGCATACACGTTGTCGCGGGTAGAATCAGCTACTACACCCAATTCAGCCCCTTTTTGAGCTCAGGTACAGCAGAGGGAGATGCCAACTATCCATTAACCACGTCTGAAGGCGCGGGCGTCTCCGAAAGGAGCCATTACTGATGGGGAGACTGACTTTGTGAGGCCCTTTTGATGGGAATTCAAGATGCGACAATATTGAGGATAGCTTGAGAAGTGCGAGCCACCCAAAGGCATACATTCCAACTGAGCGTTTCCACCGCACGTTTGTGCAGTTTCGGCCACTTTATATCCGCTAAAATTCATCCAATCAGCTTGATTTCCCTCCTTTCGCAGGATGAATATATAGTGAAACCGTGCACTCTTCGACATGCAGTTCTGAGGAATCTGCGGAACCTTAACTACCGACTTCCACAGAAAACTTACAGCATCACGGGCAAGTACGAAGAAGGCATGAGGAGGCCATGCACGAAACTAAGACAAGTAATCTCCAGTTACTTTCATCCTAGAAGACACGGTTTTCGTGGATTCGTATGTACTCCTAGGCAGTTTGCCAATCAGCGGGTATGGCCCTTCGTCCTCGGGTTAATGCGTTGGCTTACGTCTCAACGGCAGTTGTCACCACGACAGTTTCTCCCCTAAACACTTCAAGCAATCGCCGATATGTTCTCGAGCGTCCCCCACAACATAGCAGCAACGCCACTTCGAGAAGGACCGACTGGAGGAGACTGAAGCCTTGCATACTCGGCTAATGGCTCGTAGGGGCCAAAACAATAATCTCACGTCAAAATCGTCAGGAAGAGGAAAAGCCGAGTGAAGGTGTACGGATTTTCTCTGCGAGGCGATTATTCATGCTCATCTTGGTACACGACCCTACGGAGTGGGCGTTCTCTGGGCACAAAAAGTTTCGGCCTCATGCAACCACTTGGTAGAGTCCGCTGTATCATCATTGAAGAGGAGCTCAGGCTTTTTATCTACATGCTCTCGGGCTTTAGTCGCCTTTCCAGCTTGACTAGTGCATCTGCGTCTCCATGTAGTTGTTTGGGTCCACCAGCTTGCAACGTTTTTCTTTTCTTATATTTTGGGGGAGGACCGCCATATTGGGCTGGCCAGCCCTTTCTCACGTGCGTACTGGCGCTGTGCTCCCGCCGCATGTCACTGCGCACCTTTTACTGGCTTTAGATTCCCCCGTCGGGGAGGCGAAACGAACGCAACAGAACATAATAGATCACCGTAAACGACCAGTGGCAGCGCCACTGAGCACTTCGGCAGCAACGTGAAGAGCGTCAGTAATGGCACAATCTGCTGGCACCTCCAGGTGTACCTACCGCCAACTCCTATCATTTTTGCTCTTTCCTCGGCGGTCGGGGCTACCAAGCCGACGAGGGCGTGTGCTGTTTGGGCGCCAATGTGGCATGCCAGTTGTTCACCGGCCCGCTACTGCGAGCCAAGTAAGTGTATAAATCATTAGTGCATGAGCAAATGGATGCTTGGCTGTGCTCATGTGGGTTTGCCCTGCAGCACTGGTTGCACTACGGTGCATTGCAACACGTATCAGGCCACCTTTCCGCACCAGTCCCAAGCCCTGAAGCCGCTGTGCCTAGGGCGGCCTGAAACTGGAGAAGTCATCTGCTGTTGGGGCACTACTCCCCAGAGCCACTGACTCTAATGCAGCTCGCCACGGCCCTCAGCTGAGAACGAGGACCCCCTCTAGGCTCGTTTCACTGCGTAAATCTAATTGCAGGAGCTGTCCCGGCATGCGCGTCTTCTAGAGAGCTCGCCTCGAATACGAACAGCAAGCACATGCAAGTAATTGTAGTATAGACACTAGAGGACTGTATACTGGAACACAACGGCATGTCCCAAATCCCCGCACTCCCTCCGATATTCAACAACTGACGCTGCTGGCGGTTCCAGATGGGGAGAAGTAAATGTTACCTTTNATCTCGTGTTGCTGCTGTACGCCAGGAAATTAGGCCCTGAAACGGCTGCGACAGCCCCAACAGCCAGTGAGCGGGGCGAAGCAATGCAGCACCGCTAATGCAACTGCAGGCGGGTAGTAGCGTGAGCTGCTGGGTTGTGAATCTGTGGTTTTAACCAGTAATTTGGGACTTACAAGTGTGGGGAGAGCAAAGTTTAGTTGAAAAGTCGGTAGAGGTACTAGCAAGGGCTCTCGCGCAGCAGCCCAGCAATAGCACGTGCAGCAGCAGCAGCAGCTGCTGCCCGCGGCGCGCCCCAGCAGCAGCAGCAACAGCAGCAGCAGCAGCACCAGAGGCAGGCGGCATCGGGGGCTTTGGGGTTTACGTTTTTCGTTTTGCTTTCCCATTCAAACATCACTTTGCAGAACTTGTTATTTCGTGAGAGTTATTGAACTCAGCCAATCACTCAAAACGCATCCCAGGCAGCACAGCAGCCTATCAAGAGCCGCGCCCAAGCAGCAGGACCCCGCTTTGCCGCGACAGCCGGAGCAGCAGAAACAAGTGCATCAAAGCTCCATTTAAATCTACTTCTGTGTTCTTTCAACGGAAAGCTATCAAATCTCTTGCATTCAGGGCTCTATAGAACCCACGAGGAGTGCTGCAGCCAGGTACTGCCCCTCACCGCAGCAGCAGCAGCAGTTCATCCTGTGTGGCTCTGAGCGCTTGCTGCGCTGTCGTTCGTTTCTGTTTTTCCGCCACAGTAGAGGCTTATCGGGTGTCTGTTCCAATTGTTTTTCTCAGCTGTACATGTCTTGTGATGGCGTTTGCTCGTGCGGCCCTCTCTGTGGGTGTTGGTGCTGGACGCTCGGTGGCCTTGGGGTGCGCCGGCTGCAGTCCTGTCTAGTTGAATGAGACAGGCGTCTATATGCTTTCTGCTGCATTGTGTCTACAGGCTCTACAGACAGCTGGGCGTTTTTCTTTCGGTGTTGGGGACAGTGGCCACGAGGGCTGCTGGGTTGGGTGATAGGTGGTCTGCGTGTACAGCTCAAAGCAGGGCGCTCATTCTCGGGTTGCTGCACATAATCTTTATGTGTGCGGTTGCTGCTGCGGCGGCCGAGGGAAGACACACCCTCTGTGCAATGAAATCTGCGTCTGTATTTCTAACCCGCCCCGTCTTCCCGCGGTTGCTGAGAGAAGGCAGCCGTGAGTGCTGCGCTGGCCCCTGAGCGTCCTTCCTTTGCTCTTTTTCTCACGTTGATTCGAGTATCTGCATACTGCGAGCTGCGCGCAACAGCGGCAGGCTCCAGTCTACCCCACCAGAGGATCCATTGTTGCCTCTAAGCCGTACTCTCCTCCTTCAGGACGTTCATGTGAACGCCCACGCCCCCGCTGCAGGCGGCTTTGCGTCCGCTGCAGCGATAGAGGCTGCAGGAGCAGCAACAGCAACAAACATAAAACAGCATCGAAACCGGAGCTACAGCAGAGCCACAGCAACACAGCACGTCCTGCCTATTGCAACGGTGCAGCGCAGCAGTGCCTTGCCCCGTTGGAATGCGAACAGCCAGTAAACTGCAGCAGCAGTAGCAGCAGCAGGATCGGCGGCCCCACAGCTGGTGATGGTCGGCGGCTCTGCGGCGCTTCGCAGGTGAAGCGGTGAGGGTTGGGGACAGCCTGAGGGCTGCTTATCTGTAGGAGTTCAAGGAAAAGGTGAGCATACACATCGAGCAGAGCAGCACGCAGCAGCAGCTGTTTGCAGCCACGGAGCAGCAATATCCTGCAGCTTTCTGTGCCAATTGCGTCGTAGGGGATGCATGCAAGTTTCTGTTTCTTTATATTTTCACATATGCGCTATGCTGCGTGTTGGCTGCAGCTTTCTTCTGACCCCCCACCAGCGGCAGCAGCGGCTTTAAGCCGCAGAGCACTCCCCTTTCTGCTCAGCGCAGCATGAAGGAAGGGCAGCCGGTGCCTCCCAGCCCGGCGTTTACTTTCGGCGGCGGCGCAGCGCGCCAGCCAGTTTATCGGTGCCGTGAACCACCGTGAGGCCGTAGCAACAGCAGCAGCAACAGCAGCAGCAGCAGCAGCAACAGCAGCAGCTGAGGATTTTAAACTTTTCTCGGCTCTCCCCATCCAGTTTAGCAAAGCAAGATGGGTTTTCTTTCAACTCTTCGCCGCGAAAAGCGGAGCTGCGACAGCAGCAACAGCTTCTGCTGCAGCAAGAGCGAGGCGGACTCGGAGTGCAGCAGCCTGCGTCAAGACGTATACGACACCGTGCAGCCGCAGCAACAGCTGCTGCCGACACCATCCTATGCGCTTGACCAGTGGACCTTCCCCTCCAGCCGCAGTGGCCTTCGCAACAACAACAGCAACAACAGCAGCAACAACAGCAGCAGCAACAGCAACAACAACCGCCTTTTCACGCGACTTGCTACCCACGGCGCGGCCTTCCCAGCAGAGGCCCCTCGCTCTGTGGGTCGCTCTATCAGCGGGGCAGCTCAGCTGTCCCGACATGACAATTTGGTTGCAGGAGCAGCAACAGCAACAGCTGCTGCTGCGGTGTCACCACACGGACAGCGGTGCCTCCAGCGTAGCCAGAATTCGGCCGTACCTTGCTGCTGCTGCAGCGACAGCAGCACGCACAGTGGCGGCAGCAACGAACTGTGTCGTGGACGCTGGTGCCCCGGCGCATGTTCCTCGGGTTTGCTGCTACAGCAGCAGCAGCAACAGCAGCCGAAACAGCAACAGGCACCGCAGCAGCAGCCCGCTGGCATGGTATTGAACGTGCCGACTTTGATTGAATCCCGCGGCGTGAAATGCCTCATCCTTGACGCCCCGACAAACGAGAACCTGCAGGCGTATCTGGCACAGCTGGTGCAGGTGGGGGTGACAGACTTGGTTCGTACCTGCCCCCCAACATACGATGAGGGGCCTTTGTTGCTAGCTGGCATTCGCGTCCACGATTTAACATTCCCGGACGGAGAGGCCCCTCCTGCTGAAGTCATTTCCCGCTGGAGAGCCCTCGCAGCCCAAGCACAGGCAGAGGGCGGAGTGCTGGCCGTACACTGCGTCGCAGGACTCGGCAGAGGCCCCGTGCTCGTGGCCGTATCACTCATTGACAGCGGATTCGAAGCAGAAGAGGCAGTCAACTTCATCCGCTCCCGCAGAAAAGGTGGGTTAACCAATCCATATATATATATATATATATATATATATATATATATATATATATATATATATATATAATATGTATGGGGTGCGGGGGGGGACAGGCGTTTGGTGACGGGGATGAGGAAGCGTTCGTGGTGTGTGCGTTGTTTGGGTTTCGTCTGCAGGGGCGATTAACAGGCGGCAGTTGGCCTTCCTCCACAACTACAGGCGCCACGCCGTGGCGTCCCGTCGGTGCATGCGGAGGTGCACCATTATGTGAAGGGTTCCACCTTGGGCGGGTTGGGGCTGGAGGGATCTGTTGGTGGAGCTGGTCAGCTCCTGCAACCCGCCGATGAGAGGATATGACCCAGCAAGATGATTGGAGGGGCCAGGCCAGGCCCACGAGCTGCATGCATGCCGCATGCAGCAACAGCAGCTCGTGAGAGAGGAGCGAACTGGTGTACCTACCCTACACCATGCGCGGGTTTATATGCGTACACCGATTACGTGAAGAAATACCGTTGATATGATTTACTGTGCACGTGCCGTGAGGTCTTTGCGTGCATTGTATTTAACAAAAAAAAAAAAAAAGTAGGCAGTATACTTTGCCCGGCCTTCAGCAGGGTATTTAACAACGCAGAAGAGGAGGCGTTGAAAGCATATGCTGTGGTGCCCCTGTTGTCTTCGCACGTCCAAAGAGAAAAGGGGATGTCGACAGCTTACAGTGGTGGTAGCAGGGAAATACATTTGCATGTTCGTATATGTATCGTGGTGCATATGCGGGTTGTTCTGGCCCGTGCGAATGTGTTGTTGGGTGAAGGGATGGCCGGGGTGGTGCCTGTGCTGATGTCGGGTGACTCACTGTGGAGGGGCCCATAGAAGATGGTGTACCCTTATTGAACTGTAATACAAAATAATATTGAAATAGGTGCATATATATATGCCTTACTGTGTGTTTCAGCCTGTGTTAATTTTGCCTGTCTGTACGTGTGTTGCGGTTAAACGCAACCAGCCATACATAGATGCACCTTGATGGTTGCTGCGGTTTGCACTGCTACTGCTCGTTTGAGCTGAGAATGAAGGGGTGTTCTGCATGCATGCAATGTCCGTCTCGGCGTCTGCTTCCCTCCCAGAGGGTACAGAAGGGGTACAGAGGGTAGCGTAGCTAGGACAGGGTGAGTGGATAGATCCCGTGGGCTTATGAAGGGCCCGCGGGCGAACATGCAGCGGATGCTCCTTCTGCCACGGCTGGTTGTGTCGCTACACCTGAGTGTCATGGGGGATGGATAGAGAGCGGGGGAGAGTGAGGATGCTATCGCGGAAAGGAGTTGTTGCGTAGAGTGGTTGACGGCAAGGAGCTGACGCGACGAATGGCTGTGGGTCATAAGACTTGCAGATCTCGTCTATAGATAATCTAGGGGGTTAGGGTTTAGGTGCTCTTTTATTATCTTCCCGGCCCTTTTGTTGACAAAACGCTCCAAGCGCCTGCTCTCTGCCTCCCCCAACTTTGGAACACTTTTTATTCCGAACGCACTTAGTGCGTTAAGGTATCCGCAATCGCAGCAATTCCTCCGTGGCTGTCACGAACATCGAAAGTCCTCGAACCTGTCCTCTAGTTGTTGCAGCTGGCACTGCTGTAGTTAGAAGTAGTAGTAGTACTGTTTTAGTCCAAGCCCACGTGGACCGCAGCAGGAAGGCGGTTACTTCGTGGGAAGAAGGATTAGACTTATTCAAACATAGGGCTCTTATTGCGTAGCGACATGTAGGAACTGGAGTTTCTCACTTTCGCTCTTCGTTACATTCAGCCACAGCCTCATCAGAGCTGCACTTACTTACATCTGTCTCACTTCAGTGCTTTCTTGTCGAGGGCTAGCGTGTCCCAGGAAGACAATCACTGGCGTCAGCAGATGAATAGGATACTCCAGGCCCAGGAAATTCCCTGGTGCATTCTATTTCTTCTTCTGTCAACTCGAAGCATGCATGGTCAGCATTCGGTTCTCTAAAGTGCAAGCAAGGGGAGCCGAACGTATGCTAGAGTATTCTTGTTCCTAGCATCTAATTTTTTGCAGTATTTATCACGAACTATAATTTCAACAACTACCGCGCGTCGCCTTTGAGTGTTTTGCTTTGATGTGTTGCAAATGCTCCCAACTCGCAAAAGAGATGTCAATGCCAAGGGAAAAAGAGAATCTTCAGATCCACACATGGAAAAAGGGGTGCAAAACGAGCTGCACAAGTTTAGTTTACTGTGCAATAAATAGTAGACAATAATGCTCATTATCGCGTCCCGAAGTGCCTAGGGGAGAAAGTACGCAATAATGCGCATTACTGAGCCAAGGTGTTGTTGAAGGCCTGGAAGCCTTTAACATTCCCCTTCAGTAAACTGAGTTTCTTTTTTTATTCGCGTTTCTAGTGGTTTTCCATTCTCCCAATAAGCAGCGAGAGGAAGCTTTCCACCTGCTTTAGGGGCACACCGATGACGTTGTGTGGGCAACCCGAGATGTATTTCAGGTGTTTAGCCATTTCTCCTCTTTCAACTAAAACAGCTCCTGCAGAGTACATGACTTCACCTTCTTCGATTATGCGATTGCGGACTTCTTCGTTCAGTTCGTTGAACTTCACATTCGACTTGACACTGAACATCTCACGGGTGTCAAAGCGATACCCTGACGGGCCCCCAGGATCTAGCAAGATGTCTGCTGCATGAACCACTGTCAGAGGGCACGTGCACGGGTCAGGATCATCTGTGGGTTGCCGGCGCTGAAATCTGTTGCAGGCCTTGCATTTGTGTGGAAACTGCTGCTTTGCGGGAACAGGTGCATTGGGGTTCCATGGAGGGCGCTCGAACTCGCTAACAAGATCAACAAGAACGAAACTTGTAGTCACAACTATGGGCTCATCGGAGTCCGAGTACCTCTTGAGAAAGCACGCAGCTTCCTCCTTGTCCTTGGGCTTGAACAGAACTTGTCCCCCAAACTCTATTCCCGTGTCCACCGCTACCAGCACCGGAGCGCGGCCATCTGCTGCCTCCGCTACCATACAGGACTTTGAAAAAGATGCGAGCTGCGCAACTGCTGCGGTCGCGCGCCCGTTTCTCCTCGCATATGCTTCTGCTCTCTGCATTAGCGGCACCCGTTCCGTCGCTGGGATGTTCATCATTTGGTTCTGCAGCCTCAGCTGCTGCAGATGCTGCGTGTCCGGCAATCGAAGTGTATGCACCGCTGCGTCTGCCTTCATATGTGCTATGAGTAGTGTGCGGGAATCTGCACCCACTTGAGGGTGTTTCGCTTCCAGCCAATCTTGCACATCGTTCTCGTCGAACGAAGGCGAGAAAGCTCCAAAGGGAACAGCGGCACTTGCGAAGAGCTGTCTTCTAAATTCACTGGAAGTTGCCAGTAGTAAACTGCAATCCTTTATCGCCATTTCCTGCAACTTCGGGAAGTCTGTGGGCTGCGGAAAGCTGTAGACAAAGCCAGGGGTGGGCTCGTCCCCGTTCTCTTTTTCGGCCTCCATTCTGAAGTGAAGAAAAGCGCCACCTTAAATCCAATCCTCAAACTACTAAACGCTTAAGATACGGTGGAAGCCACGACAAAAAAAGCGCAAAAACCCCTTTTGTAAGGCACAACTGTCTGCCTGCACGCCATGGGCTTGGGCGCCAAGGATGATTGGCAAAAGACTTGAAACCACTAAATTTAAAATAGACAATTTAAAAATAAGGATATACCTTATACAATATCTAAGAAACAACAGTTCTCGAGTTGCAGATCCCGCTGCCGCCCGTTTCATGCAAGAGAGAGGCTTCTGTTTCCCTGTGATCCTCCTTCGGCAGACAACGATGGAGCATAAAGGTTTGTTTGCTCCTGTTTTGTTCTGATTAATGTTTATTTCATAAGATAAATTGCTGAAATATATTGTCTGATTCTTTCTGGAGTACTTTACGAATCCCTTAACACTCAAGGAATATAATTGATGTCTAGGGGCCCCGCTCCGAGAACGAGGCTTCGTCTTGTGAATTTTGTTTCCTGTTGGCAGTCTACTACGAATTTGCGCACTGCGTGCTTTCAACGTCTTTCTTTGTAGTTCCACAGGCTTTTAGGAGCAAAACTCCACTGTCGCCCGAGGAAACCAGCCGCACCAGCATGCAGAACTTCTGTCTTCTTCTCTGACCCTGTAGGACGCAAAGACGTCCAGTAAGGGAGCAAACATCGTTATGACGGGCCTGTCTGCCTTTTGCCGGATATACGACTTTGTTGATGCTTCGACTNGGATTGCTGTCTACTGGAAGATGCCGACGGCAGTGGAGGAGAAACAAACGTCGGAAGAAGTAGTTGATAGAAACCTCAAAAATAAAAGGGGTGGCAGTTCGGCAGAACATGAGGGAAGGAAACGCGTGAGCAGTTGTGGGCAAAAGGCGCGGAGCTTAAGGCGTTTGCTGGAGCACCGGAAGGACGTAAGCATCGCTTCCTGCAATGTTTCGGCAGTATATGAATGCTTTGATGAATATGTATTTGTATATGGATATATATAGATATACAATATCTGTACGTGTCTGCGGTGCTCGTTTGGAACCCCTTCTTCGGTGTGTAGTTTTCTGCTGCAGTTGCCAGAAGATGTGCAGGCACGGATGCTCGCAGATGCAGAGGCGTTGGAGAAGCGGCACCGGCAGCGGGTGAAGGAGTTAAAGCGACAGAAGTTCATCAGGGCGAAGAAGGCTCTTTATTCTAAGCTCAAGTTCTATGGTATGCGCATCTGTGGTGGTTGTCAGCTGTAGAGTTGGCGCGCTTCATAGTACAGGGATATAATCAGGTCTTCGTCATGCGTTGCAGCAAGCGCTGTATGCTTCTCCGTCTCAGATCATAGAGGCCTACGCCTGTGCTCCGCCGTGTGCGCAGTTTCTCTCCCGAAGATGTACACTGTGCATACAGGTTTGGCTAACTCCACATGTCTCATATGGTTTGTACTGTTTGTGGTTTGTCGTGATCTGCCTGTTGCACGCAGAGTTGAAGAAGGTGCAACGCCGACTGCAGCAGACGCGAAAGGAGCTGATCCAGTTGATGTCACAGCAGCAGGAAGACCCGAATTCTTCACGTGCTGCTGCCGACAACGAGTCGATTCCGTCTGCTGTAGAGGCAAGTGGGGAGAAGCTAAGTGAGCGCATAGCGGAGGCACAGCGAAGGTTGCGGCTCCATCTCGACGACTTAAACTATATACGCGTACGTCGAGGAAGCTCTGGGGCATTTTAAAATCTATTTCAACTCTTCTTTGCACCCATGCAGCACTAGCAGCAGCAGTAGCAACTGCAGCACTAGGCTATCAGCCGGCTTTAGCTGTGCCGCCCGGGGACCTGCTATGGTATCCGCCTTCTTATTTCACGAAACGCGTTTTGTGTGTTTTCTTCTCTGAATGTAACCTGCAGTTATACCCGGCGGATGAGCCTTACGTCGCTCTTTTTCCAGGTGTGTCTCAAGAACAGCAGCTCCACACCTTTGTGACTCTTTATCTTTGAATTGCTGTTTGATGGCTGCGCAGTTGGTCTGGTTTGGTGTTTTCTTTCTTTTCGCTCCTTTACAGTAGGAGATACACCCCACACTTCTGGTCCAATTCGCAGCATCCATCTGACGGATTCGCTGCCAGATGCTGATGGAAATCCGCTTTGCTTGTTTTGCTGCAGCACAAGACACGGAGGAAAGCCAGAAGAAGCGGCAGGATATGCGCCTTCGTATCCTCCAGCTGGTGAGTGACGATGGCGGCACCTGTGTCTGCCCAGCTCCACAAAGGAGCAAACACAGTGCAGAGGAAGCAGCTTCCCGTTTCTTGTTCCGTTGTTTTTTGTTCTTGTTTATTGTTGTTTGTTGTTGCTTGCTGCTGTGTGTGTTGTTTTTTTGCTTGTTGCCTTTTGTTTGTCGTGTGTTGCTTGCCTTTGTTGTTTGTTGTTTCTCGTTTGTTGTTTGTTTGTTGGTCGTTGCTCGTGGCTGGTGGTTAGTACCTACCACTTGTTGCTTTTTGTTCGTAGTTGCTTCTTTTAGTTTGTGTGTTGCGCTGGATCGGCCCTACTGACTCATAGATTTGAACGAACCCTTTTCGCCTGATTCTGCTGTGTGGTGATCTCAGCTTATAGACAGCAGAAATGGCAACGAAGCAACGAATGATGAGGATGAAGGTAGGCAGAAGATCTTTGTCTCGGCAAACGCCCCCATCTGCACTGCAAATCGTTTTTTTAACCCATTTCTACGCAGTTTGTATCATCGCTGGACCGCAGTCTACATGATTTAGCCTCAATAGCAATGCAGACCCGATGCCAAAACTGTGCTAAATTCTATGCAAAATAACTCCATATTGTGCCTTTGTCCTGCCAAACCCATTTGCTGCAGCCGTGATGTGCTATACCGGGGTGTATATAACGACACACTTATCTTGGAATTCCACAGTTACTATTAACATATATATATATATATATATATATATATATATATATATATATATATATATATATATATATATAATACCAGGTTGCGCGTAGAGTCTTGTGTGTTTTGATGCTCCTAGGGAGGGATGACATGTTTGTGGATGCGCCACAAGCGGCGGAAGGCACGGCTGCTGATGACGCAGATCCTTTTGAGGATGCCCAGGCCCTCACTGACGAGGAAACCGAACAAACAGGCAGTAGAACAACACACAAACATGGGGGTAACGCTCTGCACACGAAGCGCATGAGCGGGTCCCGCGACAACAAGCGAGCGGGAGGGGCGGCGGCTGCAGCGATGCATAAGAAAGGAGCTCAACGAGAGGGTGGGGGCCGCAAGCCTCCGCAGCACAGCAGGAGCAACTGCAACACCAACTCGAGCAAGAGCCAATTGTCTGGACGGAAACAGTTTACCCCAGACAAAACCTGCAAACAACACAGCGAGCGTAGGGATAAACGGCGCACAAACGGGACCCAGCATCAAACACCAAAGCAAAAAGAGCGAGAGAAACAAACCAATTCGTCATTAGCTTCCACGGACACGAAAAACCAGCCAACACGAATTGGGCTGTCTAAACACAAGGCAGCAAACCAGCACCTCATTTTTGACTCAGACGACGAATAGGTTCTTTGGGTTTGAACATAGCATGCAGTTATTTTATTAGACTTGTCACAAATACGAAGTCGGAATATTTGTAAGAGTGCTTGAATTGTTTGTTGCTCTACTCGCTCATTTGCCTCTCGCTAGGCGTGCCTGATACCCCGCATAAGAGCTTCAGTGGGAAGGACCATTTACTGCAGCAAGCTGTCGAGAGGGGTGGCCAAGGGATTCCGTCTACCGTCACCTCTATGCTTAGGGAAGATTTATGCATAAAAACGCAGCTGATGCTCTCTTCACGCAAGCGAGCTCAACTGCAGTGAATGGGTGTTGTGAGCACCGAGTTTGCGACTGCAGCTGTACTTCTTGCTGCGGGCAGAGCGCAGAAGGGAAAGCTGTCTCCCATCTCAGAGCATGCGCTCTCTGATAAATCATAGTAAACGTTGATTGGCAGGACTCACCGCTTCAGTTGGCATGTAATATGTTCAAAAATATAGTGAATGTATTTCACTCTCAGTCATTATGCTGTTTACGCCGACTCGCCTCGCTGCTCTGTCACCTCAATTGCCATTGCCTCCTCCTATCTCACTTCTACATCTCGTTTTATCGCAGATACGCCCTCAGCTCGCATAGAGCACTTATTTGCATTTTGATTGTCGCTTCAGCAGGGTGTGCTAGGGGTGTGCACTGGAACTTGTATGTATACGTTGGCAGCTGGTAGCTAAGTAAGTCTCTGGAAATTCTCTAGGGTATCTGCACGTACATCGGAAATTGTGTTTGAATCCTAACCGTGCAGCTGCCTCGCGGAGTGTTGCACCAGAAAATGCTGCACTTCAGACCGAGCAGCTCCCTTGGCTCCCATTTAGGACGCTTGGCACAAGAGGCGAGGCCAGGTGTTTTGAGGGGAATAACTATACTTAAGGATTTTTCATTCTTGCAGCTCTCGGCAGTTGTCGAGTAAGGTTGGAGCCGCTTTCTTAGTCTAAATAACCGGGGCCTACAGTTTCCCTTTGCAGCTTAGCACACAGCTCAATATTTGTTAGATGGTGCGGCGAAGTGTGAGCTTGACGTTCGCAACGCCGACGGGTTGATAATCTCTATTCAACTGATGGAACGCTGAGTTGGGTCGTGAGCCTGTAGCGCGTTTTGTCCGACGTTGATACATATGCTTCTACTTGCCTGGAATGCTATTACAAGCTATCTAACAATTGTCAACCTTGCCACTCCGTGCACCAAATGGCTATTGGGCGCAGTTATACCGCGGTCGTCCTGCAGCGGGCGATCCAGAAGTGTGCAGAAAGGCCACCTACCCCGCTGCTGCCTCAACTGGCTGCAATGTCTACCTGTGTTAATAGTGTTGAGCTCCGTTGAGCCATCAGGGGCTTCTATATGTATAACTTGCAGATCAAGCGCTAGATGATGGATTCCTATAGACCCTGATGTACGCCATAACTAACTTCTACCTCGTTCATAATCACGTGCGCTCTTAGCAATACTATATGCAGCTTCAGCAGTTCAAGTGTGGGCGGTGCTGCATTGCATTAGTAGGTATTCTACCGATGAGATATTTCAGGAGCAGTAGCGTCTAGTGCAAACAGGCGGAGTGTAGCTACGCAACTGTTAGTCAACCCGGCGCCGACTGCGCTGTGCATGCACACTACGACATATGTGCCCTTGCTAAAAGGGGAATGTGATAGTTCAAAATGCACTATGCAAAAGAGGCAGGATTTGTCGAATTAGTTTGGACTGAACCTCTACAAGCGCGTTGCCGCGCTATGCACACGGGCTCGTCCAGCCCCAAACACTGCCACCTGTGTCTTGTTCGTATTAGGCAGAGTCCCGTTGTTATATAATTAGGTAACTGAGCTCGTTTCTGCTTGAACTTATGTTTCTATTGCTTGGTTTGACTTTTTCTCTGCGTTCCAGGCCTATTCTGTTGCCCTACTACTACTGCTTCGCCCCTCCTATGCTCTTCTCCGGCCCGGTTCCCGTGTGTGCTGAGTGAGCATGATATCCAGCTATCGTTTGCCTCAGCTGCATCATATGTGAAGTACTCTTATGTGTCTCTTCCTCTGCACTGTCCCCTCCTGTCGGCCTCTCGCCTCCCACTTCCGACAATGGCGTGCATGCTCATGAAGTGTGAGACGAAAAGCAGCAGAGTGAAGGGCGTTGCCTTCCACCCGACACTCCAGTGGTGCCTCACAGCGCTGCATAATGGGGCCATTCAGCTGTGGGATTACCGCGTGGGCTCCTTGGTGGACCGCTTCGAGGAGCATGAAGGTATGCTGCACGGAACCAGCAGCCACAGAACATACCCAACCACCAACCACAGCGCAGATTCACAGTCACGTACACCTCCATATTCCGTATATCAGTAGAGAGAGGATCCATCACATTGCAGCTGGATGCAGCAGGGGGCAGGAAACAGAGAGACGTAGTACAATAGGCTCATGGTAGTACGCCTGATGGCTGCGAGAACCTAAGGCAATCTGCTGAAATAGGACACCACTGAAATGATGAATGCCGCTCAGTCTGTCGCCAATGACACCGGCAGAGTACCCCTACAGTACCTGTGTTTGATATTCCAGCCTTTAAGTGCCTCTTGCGTCCATCGTGTCCCAGCATTGCAACGGGCTCCTTGGAGCTGCAAGCGGATTCGCTAGGCCACTTGGCTCAGATATACTTTTCATCCTGTCTCGTGTATGCATGCATGCATGTCTGTGCATCTCTGGATGTACAGATGACGTTTTGCGCTCCCTTTATCTTTTGATTGCTTTTCTGTACGCCAGTCCGTTCGTTCTAATGAGTGCGTTGGTGTAGTTTTCGTTTTTTTCTGTGCATGCGTGGCTAACTGGTTGCCGTTCTCCCCGCTTACCTATTCCACTGAATAGCTTCCTTCATGCGATTTCTGATTCCAATTCTGCATGGCGTTCGTTAGACCCATAGAACGCACCTATCGTACTTTCGGTTCACTTTCGACACGTGAACGCGTTGCTTTTTTATCTGCTGTAAAATAAGTGCAGAGTAGACGGACCAGGCTAGTGCCTTTGCACTACTTCATATTCCTGATGTATGCAGTGCATACCGCTCCATATTGGTCTTTGCTTCAGGTCCTGTCCGTGGCGTTGATTTCCACTCCTCTCAGCCCATCTTCGTTAGCGGAGGCGATGACTACCAAATAAAACTGTGGAACTTAGCGCAGCGCAAATGTATATACACATTTTCGGGCCATTTAGACTACATCCGCACGACCTTCTTCCACGATGTCTACCCCTGGATTCTTTCCGCCTCCGACGACCAGACCGGTGCGCTGTTTCTCCCAGCATTGCAGTGTATTTCACATGGCGGATTAAGCGTAAGGGATGGCAGTACTTCTTAGGTGAAGTGTAGGCACATGAATGCCGCGCAGTAAACAGAGTCTCATGGATCCACGCATTCCTGCAACGTTCCTGGGAAATTGCACAAGCATAACCAGGACAAATATCAACCCTGAACCCGTTTTTACTCACCATTCACGTGTTTCTGTCCTCCACCCTCGGCTGGTCGTGCATTTGCCTTTGGTTCTGAATGCTCATCTCTTTCCTTAGGGGCTGCTCTGGCCCCTATTCCAGTGCTTCTCTACGATCACCAATGCACTGCGTGTTCTTGTGTTCCGGTACACAGGAACGTCCCGGTACACAGGAACACGCAGCAGATTGGCGATTGTATTTGAGTGGTGCGCATGCACATCTGTGTTCGCCTTGCCTGTGTATTCCCGGCACACTGGCGGTAAATGTGGGGTCGCCTTTGCGCTTCACTGTGCTTGCCTTCAGTGCGGATTTGGAATTGGCAGTCGCGTGTGTGCTTGGCCGTCTTAACCGGACACACGCACTACGTAATGTGCGCGCGTTTCCACCCAACTGAAGATTTGGTGGTGTCCGCTTCTCTCGACCAGACGCTGAGGCTCTGGGATACCTCAGGGCTTCGGGAGCGCTCTGGGGGGGTTACTGGGGCTGTTGGACGCAGCGGCAGCAGAAGCAGCGCTCATGGAGATATATTTGCTGCTACAGATGCCGTTTGCAAACTCGTTTTAGAGGGCCATGAACGGGGTGCCAACTGGGCAACATTCCACCCATCTATGCCCCTCATCGCGTCGGCAGCTGATGACAAGCTGATTAAACTCTGGCGGTAGGTTTAAGTGAATCGACATGGGCGTGAGAGAAGAGCGTCCAGACGGGAACTGCGAAGGAAAGATGGCGTATGGTTTGGTGTCTTTACTTTGTGCCGTTCGTTTCTTGGTCGCCGTTTGGTACTGTGAACTCGACCTCTACAGCTTGATAATGTCCTGCCTTTTAGCCTGCGGGTCTGTGGTGTGGTAAAACGCGATAGTGTTGGGTGAGGTGTCTGCGACTCATTTTCAGGTACAACTCTGTGAAGGCCTGGGAGGTGGATACATTGCGTGGGCACAGCAATAACGTCTCTTGCTTGGTCTTCCATCCGCATCGCGACTTGTTAATTTCGGATTCCGAAGATAGAACCATAAGAGTGTGGGACGTATCGCGTCGTACCTGCCTTCATACCTTCAGAAGAGATATGGACCGCTTCTGGGTGTTGGCTGCACACCCTACTTCGGGAGCCATCGCTGCAGGACACGACGGAGGGATGGTAGTTTTCAAACTGACTACAGAGAGGCCTCCCTCGTGCATGTGGACGGGGCACGAGCTGCTTTACGTAGCGGAGAGACGACTCTGCTGGATAGACACAGCTGCACTCGTGCATCAGCAGCAACAACAACAGCAGCTTGAGGTCATGCTCACGGAGGTTAGGAGGCCGCCGAACGCCCTCGCTAACGGCCCCAAGCAGCTTCTTGCGAACCCACTCAACACGGGAGAAGTTAACGTCGTTGTTGTGTATGTACGTCGTTGGCAATCTCCCTTGAGCCGCCGTTGCTTTTTGGGGACCCCTCGTTGTCGTCGCAGCTGAACTGCCTACAGGAATCATTCAGCTGTGGGGCGAATGCGGCGTTGGTTGTGGACCTGGGCTTTGTCTTGGCTGCTGCAGGCGGAAGGAGACAGCCTTTCCTACGACTTTCTTTGTGGTCCCCGTGCAGACGGCCGGGGTCCCCCAGCAACCGGCTGTCTATCACAAGTTGCACAGGTGAGGGGCCGGGGGGTCCTTTTTCGTCGCATCAAGATTTGATGAGAAGAAATAGGAGGCTGTGTTGTTTTCACGAGTAGGAGTTCGACACCGTGGTGTCTGGCTCGTGTTTGTGTGTAGTGTGACTGTGGAGATATGGGTATTCACCACGGGGCGCACACGTTGAGGCGCGCATCTCTAAGTATTCGTAGATACGTTCTTTTCGCGTTTCGCTTTGTGGTCGTGCACCCGATGTGTATTTAGAGTAGACGTCACTTTTCCGTGTGCGTGCCCCGTGCCTGGTTGCTTGCACGTGGTTATCTCTGCCGGCTTGTATCGGCATAGGAAGCAGCGGGAACACATCGTTCCGGCGTTTCCCCCGGACCTTACCGTGTACTTCATCAAGTATGTGGGCTTGGAATAGTTGCGGACTCGCGCCCTGAGTGGAGGGTGGGTTTTGCGCCTCGTAGGGGACGGGCCTGTCCTTCGCCTTCATCGCTCGCAACAAGTTAGCCATCTTGGAGAGCGCTCCGAACGGCAGCTGTCTGCGGATTCAGACGGCCCCTTCAGTATCTTCTCACGCAGCGCATGCCACGGCGGACGCCGGCCGCATTGAGCCCTTACCTGTCACTACGGACAAAATTTTCTTTGCTGGGCCTAACAGGCTTATCCTTCTCGGCGAGGACAAGGTAAGACAAACAGGCACCAGCAAGGCAGCCAGGCAGCCACAGCTAACCACAGCCGACCTGTATGCATCCAGGAGGGTTGCAGGCGGGCGCCAGCAGCGGGAATAAAACAAGGCATCGCTCCGCCAATTGCGTTTCTAACGAGCGATGGATGTGTAGCGCACTAGCTGTTATTGCAGAAAAATCTGTTTGAAGCATGCCTCCTTGGTGCTGCTCCTTTTGCGCTACTTGACATGTCCTCAAACACGGCAGTTGTTCTATTCTGTCGGTTCCTTTCGGACTTTGTTCTGTCCGTGGTACGGTGCAGATGTACCTCTACGACGTCCCGTCGCGTCGTCTTTCTCCCCCGTTGACGTTGAACATGGGGGGTCCTGTGAGGACAGTGACGTGGGCGCCCGACATGCAGCATTTGGCGCTGACTTCGAAGCATTCTGTGGTGTTGTTGCGCGCAAATTTTGCGGCTTTATCTGCCGCTGCGGTCGGAGCAACCGAAAAGGAAATGGAGGCTCCTGAGCCAGTTTTCAAGATCCTGGCTTCTCTCCACGAGAACATCCGCGTTAAAGGAGGAGTTTGGGATCCCGAGTTTGGTCAGCCAACCAGTGCAGCAACCCCACAATTATGACCACCTGAGACAGAAAGGGCAGTCCACTGGGTGTATTTTGCCCAAACTTCCTCTCGACTCAGGGGCTGCCAGTCTTGTTTGGTTATCGCCTGCTGCTTAGCTGCTCTTTACCTTACTGCGACATAGCTGCATGGATGGACTGAAATGAATGAAATGGAATCGATGCGCTTGGATTGTGCGTGTTGCTGCATGGGCGCGTGCTCTGGCGTTTTGTGTTGCTTCGTGCAGGAGGTTTCATTTACTCTACTCTGTCCCACGTAAAGTTCTGTATGACCAATGGAGACAGAGGCATCGTATATAGCCTTTCAGAGTCCATATATATAGTCTCGTGAGTCAGAATTTGTGGCAGTTTGTTCTCCCTTCCGTTCGGTACTCTAGTAAAGACTGATGGTCAATGGACGTGGGCTGTCGCTGGCGAACTTTTCCTTGCTTGCTAAGAGGTTGCCGCCAACAAGATTTCGTCTTGACTAGACAGAAATACCATGCAATGGTTTGCCCTCCAGCGCACAGCCCAGCAAATGGGGTTTTCTTGAACGTGGCTGCTGTGGCTGCAGGGTGATGCAGCAGCAGCTTTTATACTTGGATCGACGCTCACAACTGCATTGCAGAGCACTGGCGTGCAATGACTATCTGTTCAGAGTGGCTCTGAGTCGTCAAGACTACATGAGGGTAAGGATTGTTCCGTGGAGTGGTGTTTACGTGCATTTTTTTGACTTCTCGTCTCTCCAATTTTAACTGTGACAACAGCCGTCAGCGAAATTGGGTTTCGGATCAATAAGCCCCAAATCAGTCCTGGATCCCTTACCTTTTTTCCGCCTCAGGTTGCCTTACTTGTCCGTCATGGTAATCTCTGCGGTAATGCACTCATCGGCTACTTGAAGGAGAAAGGATATTCTGAAGTGAGCATGCGTGGGTGATGGTGGTTTCGTTATATTGTTGCTGCTGGTGCTGTGGCTACCTTGTCGTTGCCTCTGCTTATGTCGTTGGTCTCCTTATGGGTGTGTTGCTGCTATCCTGTGTCGCGCTCCCGACGGGGTCAGTGCTGCTTTTTTTGCTCTTGTTCTTGGCGGTGTTGCCACTGGTGTCCGGTGTGGCTGCTGCTGTAGTTGTTGCTCTGTTGCGATTCCGTCGACGGACGTGATACATGCTGCTTGCATTTCTGCATTGGAAATATCTTCTCTTTTGTTCCCTGTGCGTTCCGTCGGTCGACATCAGATTGCTCTAGAGTTCCTGTCCGACTGCAAGTCCAAGTTTTTGATGTCGTTGGAGGTTGGCCGGATGGATGAGGCGCTTGAAGCTGCAAAGGCTTTGAACGACAAGGTATTCTTCCCTTGCCTTTTTTCCCTTTCTCTCCTTGCCGTGCCCTTGTGCACATTGAGAAGTTCCTGTGAACTGTCTGTCTGCTGTGTCGCGTGGACTGGCATGGTGCTCCGAGTATTTTCTACTACATACCCGCTCAACTACTTCAGTGACGTCGGTGTTTGCACAACGTTGATCTCCTCGACTTGCACCCCTCTCCCCAGTCCGCGGTTCCGTCCCCTTGTTGGGGCCTCTCGGGGAGAACAATTCATGCAGCGCCAATGTGCGGCATTTGGTTTACTTTGGGTCCAGGCGGGATGGCGGTTGCTGGCGGACGCAGCAATGCAAGAGGGGCACTTCGGACTCGCGGAGATTTGCCTCCAGAAGCTCAAGGCGTTTGAAAAGTTATCGTTCCTCTATTTGCTTCTGGGGGACCGCGCCAAGCTGAAGAAGATGTTGCATGTGTCGAAGCTACTGCGGGAGCCGCTGCTGCGGCAGCACCAAGCTTTGCAGCTGGGAGACGCAGAAGAGCGAGTAGACGTTTTAATGGAGGCGCAGCAGCCAGGATTAGCATATCTTTGCGCGAAAGTGCACGGCCTACATGAACTAGCTGAACAACTGAGAGGATCCGTAGATGAGAAGGACGTTGAGGAGTTCCTTCCCAAGACACCCGTAGCGCTTTTTCCGCCCTTGCCTGTCATGAGGTGACGCGCAAAGAACACGAGAGCACCATGCCCAAACTGACTTTCCATTTTGTGGATGTGTGCCAGGTGTTTGCTTATGCTTGCACTTCCAGTGTGTAGACGTTCGTGCGAGCGTTATTTCATGTCTTAAATATCTTGATGTCTGTATGAGCAGTGTAGGCGTTGAACTGTTCAGTTTGACGTGCTAAGGGGCAGGTTCTGTACCTTGCGTTTATTGCGTGCAGATTTGGGCCAGGAGAGGCCGCCACGTGGAAGCCAGCAGTTTCAGGAGAATTGTCTCCTTTTGCTGCAGCATTGCGTGCCGTCGATGAAATGGATCCTGAGACGGCTCGCTTGATGTTGCACAAGGGTGAATTCCACTTTCGTTTAGTTGCCTCTCGCCGCATCAGCATTCACATTGCGCCTGTTGACTGATAGGAACTAGGAGGCATCGACAGTTACAGTGTGTCTTAAGCTTGCCAGAGCAACAGCGTGCATTTCCGGAGCCGAGGACCTGCAAATGCATCGTCGAGTTTTGCCCGTATTCGCGGTTGCCTGTGCAGGCATGGACACGAATGAGACGGACGTGACTGGTGCAGGGAGGGGCGCTGGGATGGTAGGGGATTGGGGGGAGGCCGCGGGGGTTGGCAGTGATGAACTGGAGGACTTTGCATCTGTTGGCGCAGCGGCAGAAGGGGAGTGGAGAGACGCAATCGATATTGGAATAGATGATGAACCAGCTGTTGCTGAAGGGCCAGGGAGGGGCCATGGGGTACTCAACGGAAAAACAGAGGGGCTTCATGCAGACACACCAGGGGCAGACCCCACAGCCACTTGGAGGCAGAAGCCCATCCCATCGGATCTTGTTGTAGCAGGTAGAGCGTTTGTTCACTCGTGCCCGAGTATCTGCCTTGCTTGCAAGCTTGATGTCTACTTCTGTAGGATTGATTGGCTTCCAGTGCAAACTTTAGCGGTATTGGTATCCACATTGCTTTCCGAAGTTTCCTTCGTGGTCGATCTCATCAAGTTGGTTTGTATGGATATCTTTGTTGCGATAATATCTACCAGCAGATTATGCGTATTCTGAATTAGTCTCGAATGACACTGCGATGGCGAGCAGCTGTGTTACGCCTCCATTTCAGGGGACTTCACCGGCGCCATCCAGATGCTACGGCGTCGTCTGGGCCTTCTGCGTGTTGCTCCATTTGAGCCTGTGTTCCAAAAGATCTACGAAGCTAGCTGGGTTCAACTGAAGGGTCACTCCTTTGCCCCGCCACTGCAGCTGCCTCTCATCCGGGGGCAGCCCTTCAGGACAGCAGGTCCTCCTCGCTTGATCAACAGTGCATATCTGCTTACGCAAGTCAGAGAAGCCCACAAACTGGTTACAGGTACGTTGAGATGTCCCGCATTTATTTTCGGTGTCTACGTGCCAGTTGAACCGCATATTCTCGTGCTTGTAACGAAATCCTCCACCTGTGACTTCGGCTTGCAGGGGGAAAGTTTGCAGAGGCCCTTACTGCGTTCCGGAAGGCCCTTATTACCCTTGCACTTGCAGTGGCGGAAAATCAAGAAGAGGAGCAACAGGTGAACAATTAAGCGTCTGATCCCTTTCCACGCGCTTCATAGATTGCATAGCCTTCTTGCAGCCGATGCTACGAAATTTCCGATGGTTTCTTGCCTTAGTTATGCGATTTGCTGTTATTATCTTGATTCCAATTCCCCTTTCATTGTGAGTGCTAACGCTGCTGATATTTCTTTGCGGTTGTCGTTTCAGTTACTAGAGATGCTGGACATCTGTAGAACGTACATCACCGGCATGAAACTGGAGACGGCTCGTCTGGCCCTTGCGGAATCTGATGCGCAGCGCAGTACGCCAAAATTTGACATATCATACAGAAATGTATCTGATGCTGATGCTGTTGCTTCTTGCAGTGAAGGTTGTTCTGAACCTGTGTGCACTGATAGAGGCGTAGATGCCAATGTGTCTTGTGCTGTGGTGAGCAAGGGGTCCACCTTCCCCGATTACAGTGATTTTCCCCCTCCGAATGTTTACGGCAGATAGATTCGGCGTTTTGAATTATTTTGCCTGCAGACTTAGAGCTCGTCGCATACTTCAGCTGCTGTCGCTTGCAACCATCCCACTCCTTCCTTGTCCTTCGTAGGGCAATGAGTGTAGCGTGGAAAGCGCAGAACTTCATTACTGCTGCATCTGTACGTCCGTACCCTCCTTTAGGTCATCGGGTTCTTTTTGTAGGGACCGCAGCTCCGCAAGAGGCTTCGTTGTCGTTGAATGAGTAGTGTTGTTTGGAGAGCTGTTGTTATGCAGTTCGCCCGCCGGCTGCTCTCTGGAACTTACTCGGGTTTAAAAGGCGCACCAGAAGAGCTGGAAAAGGCAAAGAAGGTTCTCCTGCTTTGCGAGCAGAAAGGAACAGACGCCATCAACATAAATTATGAGCCTGCAGAAGCAGGTGAGCATAACGAACTGTGCAGACCAACCCTTTCCAAAGCAGCTACAGAACACCCCAATATCGCCTGTCACCAGCATCCACGCATAGTTGCTGATAATCCCCGGGGACAAGCTTCACGGGGAAGGTTATACAAACTGCACAGTATATAGGGGTGAGTCAATGCGACAAAAGCGAAAAGTTGCAAATGGATTTTGTTTGTTGCTTCAGAGAACATGCTGCTCTGCACGTCAACCCTAACGCGGCTGGACCCAGGCACCCCTGTTGTTCGCTGTGGTTTCTGTGGGGCAGTGGCCCAGCAGCGTGTGCAAGGCGGGTTGTGTAGGGTTTGTGAGGTTTCGGAGCTTGGCGCCAGAGTGAGCTACCCAGGGTCTCGCGTGACTTGACGATCGTGCCGTTACTGTATGCTCTTGAATGAAGTAATCGCTCCAGTTTGTAGAACTGCAGACCTTCATTGTTTGCGTCCTGACTATGTGGCTCCTGCTGCGCTCAGGTGGTTGGCGTTCAGTTCCTTCCGATTGTCTGAGCTGCGTGGTGGCCAGCTGCATCTCCTCAGGAGAGGCAAGAGCCTTTCCATTCTCCACGCCAACAGCGTGGTCGTGGCGGCTGGTTTTGTTGCGAGTCTTTACTAGTGCCGACTCGAGTCACATCTTACTGTGCACCGCTCAAACACGGAAAGTGGTATATCTTTATAAATCTGATTACCACTGTAGAACTGCCACTTCTTTTTACGGTAATTCTGCAAAGTGGTGGCCAAGCGGACATATCCCGTGAGTAGACATAGAAGTGTTTGATTCGTTTGCTTTGAAAAGGAAAGAGAACTAACATTGCGCGGCCGAAAATGCGGCGTGCGATGTTGCAGTCTGCATTAGTCGGTTGAAAAGGTGTTGAGCTCTCTGTAGAGCATCCGTCGTAGTCACAAAGCACATGTAGAAGGCCTTGGTTTGCTTGTGCTACGAAGGCGTCTGTTACGAATGGCGTCTGACAGCTTAACTAGCCAGTCTTATTCCAGTGTGCAACGGAGACTGGAATAGAGGAATGGCGCACGTGATCTGCAACGGCGATTATCTCGCAGTCCAATGAACACAAATTTGACGTCTCAGTAACTGCTCCTGTTTGATTTCTGGCAGACGCGATCAAATGTTATCTCACCGTTTCCCTCGTTTTGTTGTACGTTGCCTTCGCGCGGTCCCCATTGACTCGGGAACTGAATTCAGGAATTTGGCTTCCCTACGCGCAGCAACAGGCTCAGCAGCCCCAGCTGCATGCCTTTGCAGTACAAAAATGGCAAAAACTGTGCACAAGCCTATTGAAAGAATCGTAAGCGGCGCTTCTGTAAAAGCACGCAATCAGGGAGCTAAGCATGAGCTGCGGAGCTCCAGTTATTCCACGCTGGGCATTCTTCCAGAGAATATCGTTCTATGCCACCCAAACCTCAACTGTAGCAGTCACTGAGGCTTTCGGCTGATCCGTTGAGCAGGGCTGTTACAGTACATGTGTACAAAAGCGCATAAAGGCAGCGTTTGTCTGCTGCGAGCAGCACGCTCTAATAAATAACGAATGTGCATTGCCACTAGGCCGCACATTTCCCATGCGCACGTGTTTCTAGTAAATAAGGCAGTATGTAGGGCTGCGCCATGCGAAGATTGCAAGAACACGGGGCCTGTCACATTTCCTAATACCTGAATCGTTTTGTATTCGCCGCATGCATTGCTTCGGACCTCCCCGTATAGGAACTTGTGCGACTGCTTTGCGAAATCGACCGGCCTAGCGCAGTCTCTCCCAGAGCATCTGTATCCATCTCGTTCTGCGCCTCGCCATCTGCTGCATGCAGGCGGGTGATATGCCACTTCCACTTGTTTTCCTCTTCACTCCAGTCGGCGATAGCCTCATGATCTGGCCCCAAGTCCCCTGAGCCATTTGCAAACGAACAACCAGACTGCCAAAAGAAAAGGACGTTACAAACAAAAGTTAGCGCACCGCAAGCCCAGTCGGAAAGGGTCTACAACTACTCGTTAGGCGTTGCAGAAGCAGAATTACACGTTGGCCAGACTACGTGCAGCTATTAACGTGGCTTTAGAAGTGCATACACTGCATCTTGTCACAGGGTGCATTAGAATATGTAAATACGGCTATGTAGTGGCGCTGCGTCCCAGGGAGTGTAGAGGGGCACACAAGGCGAAAATGAGCACATATGCTGTCTGATTTGATACGAACCGCTGAGTAGCATGACGGAAAGGTCAGATACAATGTGTTTCTCTAGATATCGTTTGAGGGGGCGAGCCCCAAATGCTGGGTCGAACGCTTCTTCTAGAGCATGTTCCAACGCCCGGTCGGTCAGTTGTAAATCAATGCGCTTCTCGCGAAGACGTTGCCGAACTTCCTCAACTTGAAGCCGCATTACCTGCAGACCAGTAAGCTCGTTGTATGCAAAAAGATAAGGAATAGTATGGAGGGGAGATACATACGTAACATATGTAGGGCCAAACGGAGGCAACAGAATTGCTACGTTTGCTCTCCGCCGTATGCGCATGTGCATTTACAGATGCATGCGCACAGAGAAACCTTCGGAGCCTCAACAAACGAACTTTAGGCGCTCGTGGGTAGGAATCTAGCATACTAGAGAGCCTGGCGCTGCAAATTTCACCTGTTTGAGGTCGCTGTCGCTCAGCGCCTTGAATGCAACAATGTCATCGAGGCGATTGAGCAGTTCCGGTCTGAACAACTGACGGACTTCCTTCATCACTTTTGCAAAAGCTTCCGTGAATATCGCGTCTGCTTCTTCTGAACCTGTAGCTCACGCAAACATGACCTCTACGGCAGTTACGCAGTTACGGCCACAGACAGAAACTGTAAAGCACTTATATTTATCTCCAAACTTCCTAGGCGCGCCTAGGATGGCAATATGCATTTAAATTCACTGTTCTCCTTTGCCTTCCCTACTTAAAGATCAAACTAGCCTGGAGCTACTTGATATATTTGAGTATATCAAGCAGTAGTTCCACGCAACGAAAAGCCAAGCTGTACAATCAAACGTCTCGAATCAGTGAAGGCCTACTGTACCAGGTGATTAATCTAGAGAACTGGATTCCCTACCAGCAAGGGAGCTTTTTTCAGCGGCTGCGAGGAGATGGTGGGCACCAATGTTGGAGGTCAGGATAAGCAAACAATTAGAGAAGTCAACGGTGCGGCCCTGAGAGTCTGTGAGGCGCCCCTCGTCAAGCACTTGAAGGAGCACGTTCCACACCTGAAGACAATGCCTCAAATACATTAAACGATGTAGACACATGAGCAAAACAACTATACGTACAATGGCTGCACGGCAATCGCTGTTCTGCGCTTTACCGAGAGTTCTGTTCCCCCCCGTATTCCACTGTTTCCTGTGCCTCTGATGGTGTGTGGCTGCGTGGCTGTTCCATTTGTGTCGCAAGTGCTCCGCCTCACTTGGTGGTGAGCTTTTTCCACTTCATCCAGTAGCACCACTGAGTAGGGATTGCGTCTGACTGCCTCTGTGAGCTGCCCGCCTTCTTCATGGCCGACGTAGCCCGGCGGCGCCCCAATGAGTCGCGCAACAGAATGGGCCTCCATGTACTCTGACATGTCAAGCCGCACAATCCGTTCCTTTGTGTCGAATAACTCTTCAGCCACAACTTTGCAAAGCTCTGTCTTCCCGACTCCAGTCTGCGGGAAGGGAAACCCACGGCAAATGAATACAAAGCTGATTGCATGGAAACCACCGAAGGCTCATCTATTTGGGTTTCCCTGGAGGGGTAGACGAAAGAAAGGAAAGCATTAACAAACCAATTGCGAAGCAGCTTTATATAAGTGGGGAGCTGGGCAAGCACCACTGCGTTGCACTGAGAGGGGTTAACGGACCGGGCCCAAGAAAAGAAAGCTTCCGATTGGCTTATTGCGTCTGGCGAGACCGGCAGCTGATCTCAAGATGGATTCCGATACAGCGATTACAGCTGGAAGTTGGCCAACGACACGCTGAGAGAGCTTTTCTTTGAGGCGCAGCAGCCTTTCCTTTTCCGTTTGTGTCAACTTTTGCACTGGAATGTTCGTCCAGCGATGCACGACGTCAGCTATTTGCTCCGGACCGACTACCTGTGCCCCAGTTAGAAGACGAAATCAGGTATGCAGAGGTTGCGTAACTGGTTGTTCATAAAGCTGCAGTTGTGTGGAGCAAGCTGCAAAACGGCATATACTGAAGAGCTACTACAAGACGCGTAAATGGTTCCACACATCCACTTTCTGCATCCCCTAGTCCAAGAAAATACACGAAAAGTCAAGCATCATGCCCTACCTCTGTTAACAAAGGCTTGTGGGTTTTCTCATACTGCTCTTGCTCCTTGCGCAGCTCCATCAGACGCTTTTGTAGTCCAGGAAGTGCATCGTATCGCAGCTCTGCCACGAGATCCATCTGACCGAGCCTTTCTGCCTTTTCAATTTTTGCCTTTAATTCGTCTTCCTTCAAAGCGAGTTGTCTCAACTCATCGAGAGTAGCCTTTTCGCGGGTATACTGCAGCTGGAGTGGTTTTAGTGTCTCCCTGTGCATTGCGATTTCGTGTCGGACCTCGTTGAGTCGCTCTTGCGACGCAGCGTCGCTTTCCTTCGACAGGGCAGTCGCCTCGACCTCTGAATCCAAGCACACCCGGATATACCAAGCAGTAATGCTAGTCTGACTGCCTAGGGGATATCCTCGCCTTAAGCCCTCCGAAGGATGCAAGTGGCATAAGCAACACGGAAAAGAGGCTACAAGGAGCACTGTCCTTCAAGCTAAGCCCATGTCCAGGTTACATAACAAAGTCGAACAATATGAAGAACGTGCCTAGTTGGAATATAAGCCGTTCGAGGCGATCCATTATTTCCGGCTTGCTGTCAACTTGGACGCGGGCGATGGCACACGCCTCGTCCATCAGATCTATGGCTTTATCAGGCAGAAATCTGGAGGTAATGTAGCGATCCTGTGGAAGCAATTGAGGCCGCACCCAGCAGCGGAAAGCAAGACCAGCCACGAAATTGAGTTTTCCCACGCATGTAGACAAATCCCCAAACCCCCTCTGCCTTCGCACACTACTTTCCATATCCTTCAAGTTGTGCTGCAGTTAATGCATAGAACGCAAATGAAGATTTGGCCTCTGGAAGTAGGGGAGAGGTTGAGTGCCAACGCACCGCCAACTGAGCCGCCTCTACAAGGGCACTGTCCAATATTCGGACTCCGTGGTGAGCAGCATAGCGATCTTTCAAGCCTCTAAGGATAGAAATGGTTGCAGAGACAGATGGCTCGTGAACATGCACCTGCTGAAAGCGTCTCTCAAAAGCAGCATCCTTCTCCACGTGTTTTCTGTACTCATCGAGGGTCGTTGCCCCGATGCAGCGAAGTTCCCCTCTAACACGAACGCACATACAGGCCCGGAGCGTCACGTAATTCATCCGGAGTCATAATCAGTACCAGCTGATGCATAGCTCCACTGAACCAAGCGTGATTAAGTACTACATATTAGGAAGCTTGATGATGAACTGAATAGGTGGCGGGCTGCATATTTAGTCCCTCCAAGACAATGCTGGTGCCGTTACCGGTTCGCACCTAGATCCCATATTCCACCAAACTCTAAAGTAAACTGCTCTGCGGGCGTCGGTGAACAATCGTCAGGTGCTGCAGAAAAGACGTACCTCGCGAGCATTGGTTTCAAGAGATTTGCAGCATCCATGGCTCCGTCTGTCTTGCCAGCCCCCATGACCATATGAATTTCATCAATAAAGAGAATAACCGAACCTTCTGCATTCTTTACCTCCATCAATACTGCTTTAAGGCGTTCCTCGAACTCCCCGCGGTACTTCGCTCCAGAAATCAGAGCTCCCAAGTCAAGCGATATCACTCGGCAGCGCAGTGAGGATGGCACATCACCCTCGACAACACGTCTGGCCAGCCCCTCCACAATTGCAGACTTCCCTACACCTGATCATGAGACGCGCAGCATTAACTAAGCAAAAATATATCAAGTCTGCTGCATGAGTGGCTGGCTACAGCTAACCCGAGCTCTTAACATGGAAGAAACACAACTCACCCGGCTCGCCAATTAAGACAGGGTTGTTTTTCGTTCTCCTGCAGAGAATGCGAATAACCCTTCTGATCTCTTCATCCCTGCCAATCACGGGATCCAGCTTTCCCTGCTCCGCTAAGTCAGTGAAATCTATTCCATATTTCGTCAGGGCATCAAAGTTCTGATCAGCCCCTTCGCCCGTAACGCGCGCACCGGCACGAATCTTCATACAAACTTCTTTCAACTTCTTATAGTCGCAACCAGCTGCCTGGAGAGCATGCTTAACTGTGCGGTTTTCACATACTGCCAACAGCAAATGGTCAACCGCCAGATGAGTGTCCTCTGATACACATCACCACAACAAATATGATAGTTCCCCAATCGCTGCTTGCACACAGATATTCCACTCGGAGGGACGATGGGCAGCGAAGAAATCTGCATACGTTACAACATGCTGTAGCTAATGCGTCACGGTATGAATTAGGCGCAAGCATGCCGGAGGCAGGTGCGCGGAAGCAGTGTACGTCTACTATTATTTGTGGTCTTGGCGCTTACTCATCTCGGTCTGAATGGCTTTCGCCTGACGAAACACAGCTGTGCACGCATGATTCGGTCCGATATATTCTGGCGGGGGTTTTTGTGCTGGGAACTTTGAAATCTCCAGATCTACTTGCTCATGAAGGAGCGGTAGATCAGCTCCGACCTTCCGCAGAGCCTGGGTAGGGAGCTGTTGCGGATCTTGGAGGAGGGCGGCCAATAGGTGAAGTGGGTCTATTTGTGGAGCTCCGCGTTCCTGGCAAATTTCCTGTGCTGCAGTGTACACCTTCCGCACCAACCCAGTCCAGGAGGCTGGATCCATCTTCACCTGCTGCGAGTTGCTATTTTCCTTGATTCCGTGTTATTATATTTGCTTTATATGATCCAACTTCAGGGAGAAATTTGTCCGTGCAATGACGGGTGTGTGCAAGACCCCGCTAAGGCAAAAACTGCAGAGGTCAAATGGAGGTGGGTGACTGCTCAGTATAAACGGGCCTTAATGAACAAAATCGTATACGTAGTTCCGGAAAATTCTTCGTCAGGACTGCTTATTGGCCAAAGCTACCGGCAAGTTGCGCGTGCGGCTTCAAGCCCACGTGTAACACGGAGTCACGTCGCGATAGTGGAGCGAGAAGACTAACACTCCAAACTTAGCTGTTTAACTGTTATACTATGCTTTACTACTACAGAAGTAGAACTTTCACAACCCAGCCACTAAAATATGGTGTGTACAAATGCATTTCAGTCTGCTCAGTGAACGTGAACGCGTGTGTAACTCTGTAGTCACACCACGCCACTGGTTTCCTCTCCCCATTGCTCCGGTATCGTCAGTCACGGTTAAGGTCCACTTGAACTACTAAACTCCTTTTGGAAACGCGTATTGCTCCCACTCAACTCAGCGGTTGTATTTTTCGGACGGTCTAGGTGGCTGAATCCCGGTAGTGACATTACCACTTGCCAACCGGCCGTAGCCGATTGTCAGTAACGCATTAGTTTAATCTCCAAATTGAATCTTCTTACATGCAATCCAGAGTATCGTTTCTTCTTCTTCAGTGAGGTGTGTCTTTGTATACCCTGTTGGCTATGCATCCCACTAGGTTCCTCCTTAATTTCTTTAGAAGCTTGCGCCGCCTGCAATTCGACTGAAACGGGTTTGCGTCACTGTGAACTATACAACAAATGCGAAAAAACACAAAGTGCTAACAACCAGTGGAGCCACTGGAGGAAAAAGCCATAAACGTATGGCCTCCATGAGCCTCTGTGTGCAGGGCTCTGCAGGGATTTTGCCATTTGAGCCATTCAAACAGCATATAATGCATTTTTAACTTGCTCTGAAACTGCTCTTATTGCTAATGGGAGTCATCGGTGCGCATTACAGGACTAGATGCACAGCGTACAACGCAACGGGCACTAAGCGCAGTGAGAGATTGGCAAACTGAATATTTAGTTGCCAGTTAAAAGCTGCCGCCTACCACCCCTACCGTAACTATAGTTCAGCGCCTCATTTCAAAAAAGCAAATTCAGCACAACTGTCCAAGGGNACCACCCCTACCGTAACTATAGTTCAGCGCCTCATTTCAAAAAAGCAAATTCAGCACAACTGTCCAAGGGTGGTTTCTTTATTTCAGTGTATCGTTCAGCATTACAGCTCAACCACCTCTAGCTGCCTTCTTGCCGTTCTAGTATTTTCATCACTCGAATTCCTACATAGTAGCCCTATGTGCTCGTAGATATCACTCGCAGCTACGGTTTGAATCTTGCATCCGTCTGGATGGTTGCAGTGGATGCACTCACCGGGGCAGTCGTGCATGCAGACTGCTCTACGAAGTTGGTTAACCCAAGACAGTGCAATACATCCAGTACATTTCAGAACTTCTCATTCGCCATACAAGATACGGGAGTCAGGATGTTTCGCATTGTATGCCAGCGGCGTGACCGCTGGTAGGCTTGCCCATCGTCTTCAGCAGACAGACCACAGCAAGCAACCGAAGTACACACCCACGATAAGCAGCTCGACACAAAAGGACTTTTCAATAAGGCCAACGGGCAGGCTGTCATAGCTGACCCTGATATATTGCTTGGGTGTTCATCATCAACGAGCCGAATTTCCCAATTCGGATGATTTAGCATTTTACCGCCGCCTTACCTTTTGCAACTGTTATAACGCGAATTAAAGCAGAATACATTTTTCTTCTTGTGTAACGAATGCCTCCATGATGGTGTGTGGACGGCTCTAAACTCAGACGGACGCAACGCGTTGCTGCGTTCCGTATGGTACTACCAAAACTTGTGCCATCTTATAAGTGTAGCTGGACTGGTCAGCAAAAATTGGGAGACCGTTACTTGTTTAAGTCATACCTCGCCTGAAGAATGAATTGCCCCTAAATATCTTAGCTGTGCATTTTGCTCGATTATGCAGTTAAAGACAGGTTGTATACCAGACCTGCTCGGTCGAGTCGACGTCAAAAACGCAAGATAAATGCAATGAGAATGTACTAGCAGACTACGTATATCTGTCGCATCCCTACGAGGTTTCGGCTGATTGTGGCGAAGTCTTAAGGTCTTCATGTTCCCCTTCCCCCGATGGCATGCGCTTCCAATGGTTCAAGTCGCTCGGCGGGTCTTGCCATTGGGGAGGTTTCGGACGGGGAAGCAGCATACCCTTTGTAAGACTCTTTCTCAGCGAGGGATGATCCAAGGGCAGTGCTGCTCCGAGGGTCCTTAGGAATAAGACGAAGCTCTGCAGAGAACAACATACGAGAAAAGAGCGCTCTTACGGGTGTGCGTTCGATAGTCTGAACAATATGGAAAGTATGCGATAGTCGAAGAGATTCAGAGAAAAATCAGTGTGGTCTACCTTATGTGCGCCAAAGTGGTGGCACTTGATATTTGACGCCAAGATTACAGTCAGTTTGCAGTGCATACTGTTGTGTGCCCTCAGCATTTTATAGTTGTGGACTGAAGCTGGAAGTTTTGTTGCTGGGTGGAGAAGCCGCGTATGCGTGTTTCAAAGACTTACACTCCATGTTGGTGATGCGTCAGCAAGTGCTTGGGCATTGCCAACGATTATGAGGCCTCTGCTGGCCCTCGACAGTGCAACATTAATCCGTCGCGGGTCAAACAGAAAGAATTCACGGATGCTCTGCATCACAGCAAGCGCTAAATGGACAGAACAGCGCCTCAAGTGCTACAAAGCAGATGAAAGCACGTTTACGAAAAGGAACGCGAGGAAGAGAGGCGCTCAGCTTCGTGGATAAACGAACCCATTTTATGAAATGAATAATGTATGTGGAAAGTACGTACTGTAGCCCACTTGCGTGCAAAACAACACACGCATATACCTACAAGTGCGTGGGGTAAAGTATGTGCATATGCCTGACTGTTTGCAAGAGCACAGTTCTGCAACTGATGGCAACACACTTAGGACTAGAATGCTCCTGAAGCGATGATGCGCATACCTTACGAGACCCCTTAACGGTAGATAGTATGATGTACTCTCTCTCATGGCCTTGAAATCCGTCAACTGTAAATACCTGCGGGTGCGGGCGGCACCTCTCGTCCAGCACATCCAGCGCCTGTGCACATGGACATCACAACATAAGAAGGGAAATATTTATGCACAACTCACCAACAAAAGAAGCAGCTAATATAAGGTGCGCTGCCTATAAGCAGAAATATTAGCTGGATAGCAGCCATCATCAAAGTGAATGCTCCCGAATAGCAGCCTCACAGGCTGAACGAATGAGAGGCGGCTTGACCGCCTGCGGCTCCCTCGGGCGTTATCTTCCCGCTCCTGCATTGGATGAACACATAAAAGAGACAACCCAAATAAGCTGGTAATGCTATTCTGAAGGCCCCAATAATCTCCCTCTACGATGGCTTCCGTGGAGGAAGACCTACAACGCGATGCAGTACGCGAGACAGGAGTTGCGCTTGGGCCTGGTAGGGAGTCAGCACTGCAATATCCTGCTTGGAGGCGCCGCAACTGAGCAATACTTCTACGCATCTGTACACCATGAAAGCCTCCCTAAATGAAAGCATCAGAAACAGAAGCATTCGAAAGAGGGGGAACGTCGCACCAACACACGCAAACAACGTAAGTCTGAAGCCTCAGCATCCGGCGACAAAGCTGGGCCCAACTGAAGCGGAAGAGCAGTCTCCAAATGAGCCTGACACTGCAACTTCCACGATAGGAATTCACTTAGGCTCGCTAGCACTAGCAGGCAGTATTAGCCACCACAAACTTTACATGTTTGAACGGCACTACTGCAGCTTCGATTACGGACAGCGGATTTTGAAGGGAACTTTTAACGCGCTGCTCCGCGGGCAAGCTCTTTATAAGTGGTTTACAGCCGGATGCACTACGCGCTGATCCTGCAGCATCAGCCAGATCAAAAGTTGCCACTGCGGCCTCCGGTGCTGAAGAAGGCAGTGCTATTCTCGCCAGCCTTCTGGAAGGACCTGATGCCCAAGGCGATGTGTCTAAGAAAAGAATCGGAAGGACGTTGGGAATGGGATAACGATGCATCTCCTGCACCCAACGAGACGATGGGCATGTTTCCCCTGAAGATTTGCACTGTGCCCCTAGCTGCTCCATCAGTCTCTTGGCAAGATCTTTGTCACCTTCACTGCCGTCAGGCCACGGGAAACAGAATTCATCTTGAGCCATATCCAGAGGATTAACTACAGCCGTCAGATTCCCCTCATTGGGATCTTTACAGTGCAGCGACGCCGTTTTCCCCAAAATAGTGCGCATGCCATTGTTGTCTTGACTGGTAGCACTGCTCTGGTGTGTATCTGTAGTCACATGCTGCGGGAATTCCAAGAGCGGAGTCAAATCAACGCTGTCCGACGCCTGCAGTTGCCGCCTCTGAAGCCGCTGCTGATGCCGTTGGGGTTGCTTTGACGGCAACGGCAACTTCGGCTCGTGAAAAGACAAAGGATCTGCCCGGGAAGGGTGCGTTAGGAGCTTGCCGTCATAAAAGTGAGAAGATATGAATGCAGCAAGGAGAGGAGGCATTCGGAATTGAAGGTTGAGCAGCACCGACCTGCAAGCGCCACCTGCAGTTCCAGCAACAGCAAAGCTTCTGTACTGCCGCATGATGCAACTCCCGAAGGTGCTCGACACAACAAGAAAAGCAAACACCTACGGTTGAATGTCCTTACTGACCCTTGAGGGCGCTAAACAAAGAGCGAGGTGAAGCCGATGCCTGCAGAGCCGATGCTGGGGGCAGCTGCCGCTCGTCACCTATCAGCACCACCACCTCAACTCCATCGACCAAAGCCCCGAGGCCTGCAAACTCTGGAGAAAATAGCAACACTCCTCGGAGATGGTTCAATACAAAATCCAAAGGGGAACTTAGATGCAGCGGGCGAGACACGCACTTAGTCTGACAACTGCAAAGTCCAGCAAGGGGAACGGCAGGACTCGAAAAAGCAACCACACGAAAACATCAAACAGCACTTTTGGCTTTATCCGACCAAACATCGGCATACACCTGCTCCGATAATCCGCGCACTGCATCTTTAATCGCCTAAGTGAACTGCAGGCAGCGCCAAATGGCTACAGGGAGCGAAGACACGAACCACAGTAATGGCTACGGGCTTTGAAGAGAAGAAATGGCCAAGAGGAACAGAACGCGATGATTGGGGAAACTGGGAAAATCCCAACCATGCTAAATAATTTAAACGGCCTCATCAGCAGCGAGCATGAAAAGCCAGTGAAGGATCAAGAAAACTGACAGAGGATGAGAAAGACTAATGCCATTGACAACACACTGGTCAGGGGGAACAAAAGCATGAGTCAGGTAGCCCATAGATTAATAAAAGAAAAGATTACCTGTGATTTGAGAGCTTTCATCTACAAGAACCCGACGAGGCTGCAGTTTCAGTTTGGCCAGGCGATGACCCTTCGCCACACAATACAGCATCAGATACAACAGCGTAAACCGCAGGCAGCGCATCCAGACCCTTGCTTGAGAGTGCGGAAGCCATGAACCGCAAGAGGCAAGATCATCAGGTTTGCAGATGCTCCAAAGAACTCATACGCGAAGCACAATACAGGCAGCTACAAACCACCGACTCCCTCTGCAGCTGCTACGACCAGCTGCAGTAGCAACAGTACGAGCAGCAGCAGCAGGTTCCGGCTCACCTGATATATTGTGTCCAATAGCACCAGCGCCTACACATCCGCCCCGCATTACACAGCAAAAGCCAGTGTAAAGCTAACAGTTTCGTGCAAGCATAATTTCACGGTTGCCTCCGGACAAGGAGTTAGAACTTCGTAGTTAGGCTCTACGTGAGAAGAAGGCACCAAACGAAAGGGTCTTAGCTTACTTTGTGTGGGGGCGTTGAAGCCTGCAGCGCGTCCAACACTGCCGCTTCGTCTGATAGGCGAACTGTTTCCACACCTGGATCGTCGAAAAAAGGGACAGCAGTCACTGCAACATAGCTGGATGCATTGCAGCAAGTGCCATGTTGGTTTTGTTGTGGTGTCTCTACAGTAACTAGTGCAAAGTATCTGGGGTTAATGTGCTGTGAGGTGTACCCTCTTGGTCAAGCTTGTTCTTTAGAGAGCGAAGGGCTGCATGCGTCCCTGCAGCAACAAAAATTGGCGCTCTGCACGCGCAGCGGGTGTCTTCGCACCGTGCGGCTGAAGTGTAGGTACACCGCGATATCCATTCACGAACTATAGACGCAGCAACAGCTGTCTTTCCTGTTCCAGGAGGTCCTGAAGCAGCAGAACCGCCCGCAGCGTAAGGAGCAGCACCCAGCTCAGCACAATCGATCTGCACCTCTGCTGCAGGATGAAAATCTGTCCACGGCTCAGCTAAGGTCAACCAGCAACAAACGCTTCAACGCTTTCCCCACAAATGTTGTGTAACTTATTTGACGTTAGCTGCATTCCAGTATAAAGCAATACGGCTGCCTGCCTTCTATGGTTACGATGCGATTTCCTTGGGATGTAGCGGCAGAGACGGCTTCTCGCTGTCGGGGCGTTAGGAAATTAAAAGAGGCTTCCGATGACCTTTCACGCACTTCTCCAATATGCGCTGCTGCTGGTGATGCTGCGGCAGAAAGTCTGGTTCCACAGAATGCTCCGGCTGTCTGGACATCGAGGAAAGGACGCTTCGCTGCTGCCTCATCATCGCTGACCAGCGGAGGAAGAGCTGAAGTTGTTTTTATATCTCTATGAGCATCGTAACCTTCTGTAGCTGTCAAGACCTCCAAAATACGATTTCCGCATAGATGTGCGGCTGCTGCTGAGCCTCGTCCTTCTGTTGTTGGCGCTACTGCGGCATTTGCTGCAGGCAACAGCTGCAGCGAACTAGTTTCAGCCAAACGTTCAAGCGCTTCCACTTGGCGAGTATGAACGGCTTCGATAAATGACACAGGCATTGCCCAAAACCGCGTCCCTGCAGACAGCGTGAAACCTCTCTTCCCCACGTGCTGCAGTTGAGGCTCTGCTGGCGTCTGAGAAGGTCCAGGAGCAGTTTCGGCTGTTTCGACATCTGCTGCATTGGTGCTGCTGAACGAACCACAGAGACGAGATGCTGGTTCCGGAAAGGGATGAACGCGGACTTTAATACTCGACAGCCTGCTGCTGCTACACACGGATGCGATGAAAGCTGGGGAAGCCAACGCAAATCTGTTCGTCCCCCAGGATGTCGCCTGATGAAGAGCACAAACAGTCCTCATATTTACCATCTACTGAGATAGCAATTGCCCTAGCATGACAAAATAACAAGCAGGCATAGTATTATTTGCAATGACAGCAATAACAACAGAGACGAGGTCACGGCTTCAATGTCTTACTGCTTCCAGCTGCTGTAGCACATGGCGTACGTCTCCATACTCGCATTGCTTTTGCTGTTGCACATCATTCATCAATGAAGCGGAATTGCCAACGGATGACCATTCGGCACACGATGCGTCACAACATTGTGTCTGCCGTCTTGCCGCTACTGCCGTCGATGCTGGTGCTCCCTTAATTACAGTTGACGATGCTTCACAGTCTGGGCAGTTCAAGGGCCCCCGAAGAAGCTCATCCGCTGACACGATAAGGGAGCGGCCGCATATCACACAGCGGACACGGTGCTTTCCTCCTCCAATTTTTAGTAACTCTTGCAGTACCGGAGGCGGCGGCTGCTGTTGCATTCTCCTCAAACACTGTCGATCACCATCGTAAATAGGCGTGGTCTTTAACACATCTGGGCGTGAGGCCGTTGTATCCACGATTGATTCAGTTTCAGCAGCTGCTGCAGCAGCTGCCACTTGCGCCGTCACACAAGAGAAGTCAAAGGAGTCACCGTGAAGTAACCGAAGTTCCTTTGCCAGCAGCGCTGAGGCCTGAGCTCACAGTAGAACACCGCCGAGCAGGACTGAGTATACAACGGCCGGTCAGAAAAAGCTGAAGCAGCTGGACTCACATCACCAGGAGCAACGGTATCAACGTCGCCATAGCCACAAGTAACACCACAGGCAGTACCTAGACGGCGGCAGCAGCAAAACCATCCACAGCAGCAAGACCGACTTCATCGATGGGTTTCAAAATAAGTAGAGAGCCGCTCTCCAGCTGCTGCCAGACGCTCTTCTGTCGGCTAAACGGCGCTTGGAGGGGCCCCTCAAGGGCCCTGAAGGTCCACCGCGGGGCAGCATAGCCAACGCGTGGAAGCGCACCGTCTGCCGTGGCCTCAAGGAGGAAGCTGTCCGCACAGTCGAAGTCCCGAAGGCTCTGCAGCAACAAGAGTATCAACAACAGCAATCCCACCGATCATGTACTAGGCCCCAAGTCGAGGCTAGCTAGAGCTGTGGCTAGCTCCCCCTCACGTATGGGATACAGTAGCCTCCGAAGTCGTGTGATGCCAAAGGTAGCACAAGCCGATACCCACAAGCAGCTGCTGCACCAGGGGCATACTGGTAGTGCCCTGCCAACCTGCATCAATTGCGCTCCCTTTTCCAGTGCAAGCATCGCCAGGCCACCCTCCACATAAGCCAGACACCGTGCAACTTGCACAGCTGTTGCTGAGTCTGCAGAAGACAACACCCCCCTATGTTCAGCAACGCTTCCAGCTCCGGCAGCTGCTGCAACTGTGCCTTCTCCTGCTGCACTCCCGTCCACTCCCAGCCGGAGACGTTGTCTTAAGACGGAAACGCAAGCTTCTGTGGCATGTGGGTGAAGGGCAGCAGCCTCTAGCAGACGGCGTAGTTGCCGAAAGCCAACGACAAAGTCCCGGTGACCTGCAGCGGCAGCAACATCCGGAGCTGCCACAACTGTTGGGGCAGCAACACAGATAGCCTGCCAGCATTGGCAGTGCTTAGATGTAGGGGAGGAAGAGCAAGTAATAGAATTGCTTCTCCGGAAAAATGCCTAAACAGACAGTGAAACTCGTAGAGTTCCAGCAACACAACATATAGTACTGAATGCACACCGGATTGTCCAATATTCTTGCTGTGCCTTTTGCAAAGGGGCGGATATTTCAGCAGCAGCTCCTGTCGCCGATGTGGATCGCTCTCACAAAGCAGAAGCAGCCACTTTTTCCAAACAGATGCAGAGCTCAACGAACAGCTGCTGCACGCAGGAACAACTGCCACTGCACCGTTGACCAATACAGCCGCTGCTGACGCGATGCTACTTGGTACCGCACTACTTGGTTTGGCAGTTGCCAGTGCAATATCCCTTCGTAAAGCACTATCGGCTTCCCCAGGTGCTGCATCACTCGCCAACGCGACGGGCGATGATAAGGTGGCTACAGTAGTTCCGCCCGAGCTACCCACGGGAGCGGATCTTGCTTCAGCTCCTCTTAGAGCAGCTGACAGTCCTGCCGGGCAGGTAACGAAATCTGTTTGGCTTTCTGCTGAAGGCGCCAAACTCGAGGCGCATGCAGGGGCAGCGAGAGTGGCAGCGACAAGAGCGCTGGGCACTTGGCCCTTTCGAGGCACCTCACTATGCTGTCGATCAATGCGTAGTTGATCTGTCTCCGTACCAGCTGTTGGGGAAGTTTCTGCCGCTGCTCCTGTGACTACTTCCCCTTCTAGCGCATTGTAAAAGCCAGGTCCTTTGTTGCAGCTGCTCTCGAGACTACACGTGACGCTGCTGTTGTTGGTAGTATCGTTGTTGTGGTTAATGAGTCTTCCAACTGATGCTTTCAAAGGGAGATGGGTGCATAGCCGCTGCTTCTGGCGAATCGTCTCTCGCTGCACTTGTTGCTGCCGTCTCTGTTGCGGTTTTTGCAGTTCCTGCGACCACTGTACAACTGTTGTCTCGCCACCAACGCAGAAGATTGCGCCGTCCAACGGTGAATCACTACCGAGCTTTAATGCACTGCCATGCGTGGTTGACAGGCCGCCGAACACCAGAGGGCGACAGGGACGAGATAGTGAATGAACAGTATCAGAAAACGTCGCTACAGCTGCTGCGTCGGCTGTACTTCGGTTCAGATCTGATTTTGTCTCTGTGGCAAGCCCAATGCAAGTTGGTGTTGAAGCTTGCGCCCCCGTTCCGGGTGGTGTGGATGTGGCTGCTGGATTTGTTGCTGCAGGCGTAGCTGCCGTTAATGACACTCCCAGCCGACAGAATTTCCGCCAAGGGGCTGTTCGTATGAGCAGTGAGCTGTGCTGCCCGCTGAGGCCCCCGCGGCTGCTGTTGTTGATACTGATACTTCCATTTGTAGGCCTAAGGTTGCTGATTGAGTAGGGAGTGTGAGATTCCTCGTATTGCCTGTGGGCAGGTAGGAGGTTTCGAGTAGCATATCGGACGACGGGGCAATAGCCAGTGGACGGCCGTTGAGGGCACCCGGTATACAATCCCCAAAGGCAACGCCTTCCCTGCTTGGTCATTGTCTTCAGACACGCCTTACATCTGCTGCAACAGCTGCAAACCCATGTGTCTGATTCCACGAGCTGCGAGCCGCATAAGATGTACTCGGGAAACGAAACCCTTCAAGGCCTCAAGACGGCCGCTGCTGCTGCTGGACGCTGAGGCAGCAGCAGCGGTTGCTGCTCCAGCGACGCTGCATGTAGGCAGGTGCCACCGAGTACGCGTTCCACGCCTTGCTCGGGACGTTCCATTATCTCCCGAAAACCCTCATAGCCAGGCCAGACCGTCACGTGTATGTTGAGCGGGATTTCTCATATACGGCGTGAATCAAGGCTCAAGAAGACATTTTTAATACTTAAACGAACTCAAAGGACACTGAAAAGGAGTCATTCATAACTACGATCCGTTTTGTACACTGAAACGGAAGGCGGGCGGCGCCGACAGGGGAGGGAGCAGCAGCTCTGTGTCTGCACTCCGCTGGAAGGCTCGATATTGATGAAGGAGAGCACGGGGAAATATGATTTGCAGAAACATCTCCATTAGTGTCTTCTCTCCTTCTGTTTCTGTACTATGGCAACTGGTGACTAAGGCAATTCAACGCACAGGGCAACAACCTCGCACCGCCTCTGGAGAGGGAGGCTAGCGCCCCTGGGTTCAGTTGCCGACTATCGGTTCACGGACAGTGTAATGGAGAATGACAAGGCCAGTATAGTTATTCTAGCTCAATAACTGCTGAGTTCGATGATCTTCCGTTGGGTGTGGCCACAAGAGGCGGGAACGAGACACGGTGTAGTACATGGGGGTTCAGTTGCTGAGTATCGGACAAGGACACCCTGCGGGACAGTAGAGAGGCCGTTATAGTTATTTTCATCCANGGTGGTTGTTTCCAGAAGAAGGGGGATGGAGACAGGAATTGGTACCTCTGTTCCAACTGCGAGTCAAACTATAGTACAGGACGGAGCTGGGGTACGGGAGCTGAGTAAAATAGAAGTATAAGGTGGGGCCTAAATCTTTGTCCGAAGGGGGAAGTTGTAGTGCGCTAGCACTACAAGCAAGTGCTGTTACTATAGTAAACTAAATTAGTGGAGATAAGAACAGAGAGAGTGAATAAGTACAACCTAAACTACAAATATAAGTTAATTTAGAATAGTGGGACGAATAGGGCAGACCAATTGCTAAAGTAGCAGTCTTATAGAGAAAAGGAAGCGCCGGTGCAGCTTTGTCAGGGTCGACCGTCCCCCGTTCCCGCGACTAGCGACCCGTCGAGGGATTGCTAGCGGAAGGTCATGGGCCCAGGAGGAGGCAGGTATTTTCCCAAGGAAAAACTTTGAAACTACTTCCGATAAACTGAAATTTTGACTAATTGATCGCTGGATTCTGAGAATTTACTGTTCTTCACAGTTTCGTAGGGGAAACGCGGTTGCTAGAACACTCAGAGGTCATTACAGCTCAGTTGCTGAGTATCGGACAAGGACACCCTGCGGGACAGTAGAGAGGCCGTTATAGTTATTTTCATCCANGGTGGTTGTTTCCAGAAGAAGGGGGATGGAGACAGGAATTGGTACCTCTGTTCCAACTGCGAGTCAAACTCGGACACCTCAAGCATCTGGCTTCACTGCAACTGGCACTGTTCCTTTGACAATGACGGGAAGCTCTCACTACAGTTGTTAAGAGCCTTCCCAAAGCAGCTGATCCCCCTTCCATGTATGCAGGCATCCTGGGCCTTCAGCTCACGGGCTGGGGTTACGGGGTGGGGACAGCCAAACAGGACTTGCAGTGCAGGCTGGCTTGCAGCTGGCGATGCAAGAAAGCCTCATGTGTGAGCGCAATGAAGCTCAAATGAAGCTTCCACACACTTGCTTCCGCAAGTATCTCGTTAAGGTACAAGAGCCGGGCGCTCTTGATGATGACGCATGTTCATCCACAACGCTTTGCAGCTAGCTAGGGTTTTTCATAGGTGCAGCACAACCGGCCGATCATGTTTGCAGTACTATCTAACCGCATATTGGCGCCATACCTGTCCGCAGAAAATGGGTGCGTGCTGTTCATTGGAAGCATAACTGGCGTATGCTCCGCAGTTCCGCGGATGTGGGGAAGAGGTCCTGGCACTTCAGGTCTGCGGCACGAGAGAGGAGAGTCGCCAATTGTAGCTTTGAAAGGCCGGAAAAGGCGAGAAGAGCAGTGGAATCGCTCTTTCCTTGTAGTCCCAGAGGCGTCATTATTTCCCCCAGAGGCGCTTTCAGCTCTACTGTCTCTATTAGGTCCGCCATACAGTACCGTCGATCAGAAAAACGTAAACGGGAATTATACAGTATATGACAGTTGTCACCCCCATCTTCTCTAGCAGCGGCAAGAAGAAGTTCTGCTACGGCGGTCAGACGCCCGTTGGCAGGGCCTTCAATGATGCCATAAAGATGCCTAAGCGCATGCAGGACGCGTGCCTACAGCAACAACGCTGAACTAATATCTAGCAGCCATATGAACCTAGCAGCACTGTGAGCATTCCTTCCCCTTTAGGCACTCGCCCACTGATGGGTACAGAATTCGGTGTGTAAGCAAGGCTTGAATATTTTGTGCATATAAAGACGTTCCTTTGGCAACTGTGCCTATGAAAACCGGTCATTTGGCGCTGCATGCAAGGCAGTGAAGTAAGGCTCCGAGGGAGGAATCCTTGCTTGCCTTCCGTCTGCAATAAGGAATCCGGTGAGGACGTCCACGCCTGCTTCATACATCACTGTAGCCTTCATCTGTGCTTCGCCGTTGTTGTCATGGGAGAGATATCGGAATTGCTCTTCCTCCTGCTGCTCAAGTCGTTCTGCCTCGGCAGCCACTTTGCTCCCCAGTGGGACTGCGAAAAACAAACGGTTTATTCCTTGCTGTGGCAGGGGGATGGAAATGCATTCACTGGACGACACTGCTTCGCCTTCCTGAAACGCAGCGTGCACTCTCTGCAGTCTCGCCAGCAACTTCAACAGAGAGAATGTTACGGAGCTCTCTCTACAGACGACCCGGCACGTCAATCGTATGGTATGCATTTATGCATGTGCATGGCGTTTTCTCAAAACCTATCATTTTCAAGTGACGGCCTTCGTTTCCTAAGGTGTATTCGGGCTTCAGAAAAGCACATAGACTCTGCAGTGTACAACACCCGTTTTATCTGCGGTAACAGCATCCTGCCTTTGCAACCATTGTGAACGCAACAGCCCTCCTTTGTTAACGCGTGCATGGCTCAGAGGTAGCAACGTCAAGCTTTTTGTGGGACGTAACGTATTACTGTTCGTGCACCCCTTGCCTGGTTATGCTCGGACAGTTCAGGCAATGTAGAGAAGTTTTGAAGCTGGAACAACGGCTCCGCCAGTCTGATCTCTATGGACAATTGCGTGCCGCTACTCATGAAATCCGGACCAGCGATCCTGCAGAGCTGGACAATTTCACTCCCTTCTTNCTTCTTTTCGAGCCACATATCCAGCAACAGGCAAAACATCCGTGCAAAATGATAGGCGAGTGGCCCCGCAGCTCGCTAAACTGCTCAGACAGAATGACGCTACTCCGTGAGGAGGCCGAAACGAGGTTGGCTCTGCGCCCGTTGGGGAGGCATTTGTTCTGTTTGTTAAGAATTGGTTTGAAGGAGTTTCTGGACTGCCTCCCGAAGAGCGCTGCGTCTTCGTTGTTGCCCTTCGTGCTTTCGCTTGGCTACCGGTGGCAGTTTTAGGCTGTTTCAGCAAGGGCCGCCCCATTGTCTTGCCTTTGCATTGCCAAGCTGCTACATCCGGGTATAGGTTCGACTGGTCTACCCCTGACAGATCGTAGGTGTTAACAAGCTCAATTTCTAGTCGACGCTCTTCAATGAAGTCTTTTAGTTCGTTCTGATTTTCCACTGATGGCCCCCAAAAGCAGAGGAATCCAGCATCCCATCTGACCCTGTTTGCTCCAAGAGCTGGCATTGCTCTTCTCGGCTCTGTCTCTAGGACAGTTCGCAACATATGAGCACGAGCGAAGTACTCAAGAGGAACGTCCGCTGGGTATTTTGCCTCGCTAGTGGAGTCTCCTCGGAACTGAGTTTCGGAAGATGTTCCCCTGTTTTCGGGTGTCGGTGTAGCCGCAGAAGCAACGGGAACAAAGTCAGCGGCAGCAGCTACCCCTGCTCCGTCTGCAGCTGCGGCTACCCCTGCCGATGCAAGGTTTTCTATTGTGCCGTCAGATACATCTTGAGGTCGGGGCTTCTGAAGGTGCTGGGCGGTCAACGGAAGATGGCGCGCATCCTTAATGAGGAACCAAACAGGGTTTAAAAGATGCCGCAGCGCTGGGGAAAGCAAAGATGTGATTGCTTTTACTTCAATGCGCAGTGAAACAACCCCTAAAGCACAGCTGTCGCACAAAGGCACGCCAACCGGCTGATATAGTTTGTGCCACGACTACTGCTCGGTCTGCCTCTGTGTCGAGGTCTAAATCTGGAATATGGACGCAGTTGCAGTAACTTATTACCTGGAGTCGTCGCGAGAGCTTCTTGAATCCCTTCTGGCGGCTGCATACGTTCGCCGTCCTTGAGAAGTAAGAGTGCAGCAACGGGCATCTCAGCTATTCTCGATTCTCCTGGAGGAATGATTGGTCGAGGAGGGCCTGCCTTCTTTCCACCTTTCTCTCTCCCGTCAGGTTTCGCAGAAGCTTTGGTTTGAGCATCTTTCCTCTGGGACCCGTCTTGACTTGAGTCCGGAGTCCTCACAACTGTAAATGTGAGTGTTTCCTTAATGAACTGTTCGCAAAATGTGGCGGGGAAACTGAAAGGTGTGAGATTAAGCTCAAAGTTAACTGCAACCGCCTGGCCGCACTCCTCTACAGAATCCAGATTCTCTTCCCTTGCCAAAGTTTCGGACGGGAGGGAGCAACAGCCGGCAGACTTCCCTTCCCTTTCCTCTTTTGATGGCCATGAAGAGAAAGGACCAGTCTCATGGACTTTCCCTAGAAACGTGCAAAATGCCTGTAGCGACCCGAGCGCTGCCTTCTCAGCAGTGATAGAGAACTCAACAGCAAGAGCCGCTGCTTCATTGTAGGGAGCATCCTTAGCCCCGGTAGACAGGCGAAGTAAACAGGCTTCAGGCACTGATGCCTGACTAAGGCCTCCAGGCTGTGTCATCTCCTGCTTCTCAGCCACTCTCAGAACTTCCCTCCAGCTTACAAGGCAAAGATACTGGCAAGCCTAGCGCCGCCATTTATTGTGTTTACATGAATATTGGCTCCGTACTCCTCTATTCCATGCTCATTTGCAGGAGATACGCCTTCTGCTCTCAGCTGTAGCATACAATGTCTGAACGAATGCGCAAGCAACAGCTCGCCTACTCCACTTAGAACACCCCCGATGATTCAAAGTGACTCTTGCAATTTTCAGGGCAACTTTCCTGCCTATGACTAATACACAGGTTGCAGCACTCCAGATAAACTCCGTCTTTAGATGGAAGGCTCTTTAGGCAGTACTTATAACGCCGCAGGGCTGTTGGCTGTGTGCGGGTTGCGCACCGGGGGTGCACGACTAGCGATTCCAGCCCTAGGCAAAAACGGCGTTTGAGCTAATGGAAATATTCAACCCCATTAAAACTCTTTGATGTGATATTAGTATGCCATTTGAAGCAAGTGAAATGCAATGCATTTGTACGAATTGTTGCAGCTACTGAAACGAGGCCCGCCATCTGGACCGTCGGCGGCTCGCGTTGTACACCGAAGCATTGAAAACACAACTAATGATTTTTCAGAGTCTTTACAACAACCACACTTTCGAATAGCAGTATATACGCTCGTTAAACTTAGCAGAAAATATAATGGTGGGGGTTCTTGCGAACAGGCATGCAGCGCCGGACCACTGCTGGCCCCACCAGCACGCAGGTGCTTCTCAGTTGTGTGCAGCGAGCCCTCCTGATTCGGTTAGCATTCATTTCTGCTGCTTCAGGCGACGGAACATGTAGCAAATTCGTTTTATTAAGCTTCGCTATTTGAATATTGTTTTGTTTCTTACCGCTTTTGAACTCGCAGCCCTGTCCTGCTCCGGTTCAACTGCTGTCGGTGAGCGTGGCCCCACACTCGAAAGCTGCGGAAGGCATTTTCATCTCCTGTCCTGCCGGAGAAGCTCTCTTACACTTAATTTGGGGAGATGGAGTACTACGCGGAAGAAGAAAGGGCTCCTAGATGTAGCCTGCTGGACGTACCCCTCATCGGTGAGCGCAGCTAGCAATTGTGTGTCTAGGGACTGTCGTGAGTCAACGTGTGTAATAACTAGTAGTGCCTAGTTCCTTTTTGCGGTCAATTTTTTCTTTTTTGTGAAGCTGCAGGGGCCGTGTCAGACTCCTTATGCTGCAAGGGACCGAAGAGAGACTTCGCAACGGAAGTGGAATTTCGCCTGGCCAATGCTGCGAAGATGTACCCAGCAGGCTACACCGATGTGCCTAGTTATGCATATAGATCGCGATACCAGTATAGTGGAAATCCACCGAGCTATTGGCAGTACAAGCCTCCCACGATGGTGAACTATCCGTCTGAGGTGCCACAAGTGTGCACTTCACCCGTGGGCTATTACCCGTATCCCGTGCAGCGGACCACCCAGCCACAGAGGTGGACGTATTATCCCGAACCTGAAAGCTACTCTCTTTCGAGACCAGTGGTGCCGCAGGCTGAAGTGGCCTACCCCGGACCACTCAGCAGTAGCTGGACAGGGGCACTTGGTGGGGTTTCCCAGTCTCCTTTGCAGTCATCTGCAATACCTGCTCAGTTGGGACTAACGGTGGAGACGCCACAGCCTGACGTTGCTCCCAGTAATGAGGTTTTCACCCCTAGAGGGTGGCAAACGGTAGAAGTGGTGGAAGTGTTGTTGGCGGAGCAAGCGAAGAAAACCGGGCCAAGTCAGGAAAAGAAGGAGCAGGCGTCTCCAGGGCAACTGTTCGAGTCAAGAGCGAGTCAAACGGAACCTAAGAACGACGTATCCAGGGCAGTGAAGGAAGGCAAAACTGCACAGCGGGCTCCCGCTGCCAAGCGGAAACCAGCAGCGGCCAAGAAGGGACAGCGAGGTCAAGCACACCTCCAGCAGCCAGAAGGGGACGAAGCTATTCGAGATGACACAGCTCCTGAACCTACCAAAGCAGCCACCCAAGACAACAAATCAGCATCAACGCCGCTTGTTGAGGCTGAACAGTCAGGAGGTAGAGCAGAGCCTGAAGGACATGCCAAGGAACCGGTGAACGCAACTAAGCAAGAGGAGCAACGCGAAGATGCAGTTGAAGGAACAGAAAAAGCAGTGGGGAAGCAGCAACCTTCGAAGGGACTAGATGAACAGGCTGCGGTAGGTGCATCAGCCAAGAACGAGCAGGCAGCTGTTGGGGAGAAAGACGGGAAGGTATCCGCCGATGAGCCGTCAGTAGGCGGCGAGAAAAAAGACAAGCTGCCCAACAGTGGCACGCAAGTTCCATTTCAGATGGAAAATGCACCTGGAGACAAGCCAAGTGGTTTTGCGTTCATTTCCGTAGAAGTGTCTGCACCGTCGGTCGGCAGCAGCATGGGACATGCGCTTCCTCAACCGCAGCGATCGCCAGGTAAGGAACATCAGACGAACCCGAATAAGTACTTCCCAGCAGAAGCAGCTGCTACTACCTATATTTTTTACTTTAGACCTGTAAGAATGGATGCTACCTGTGCCTGGCGTGTGATACATTCTTAGGACATTTCTGTGCTTCCCCTGCTGAGATGATAGCCGGGCCATCCGGCGTTACGAGCGGCTGGCCAGTTGGCTACGTGCCTCCGCCGGATGACAAATACAAGGAGTTGGTGGTGGGCAACCAAGTGTACCTGGAGGGAGGGACCTTCTACCTAAGCGAGACTGGAGCTTATCTCCTGGGGCTGAGAGACTGATTGAGCACACCTGCTTCCCCGGGATTACAGAAAGCTACAGCGAGTCTGCCGCGTGAAGAGCTCCGGTCAAAGGGAATAACCGGTGTTTATTTGTTTTGCTAGGTTTTTTTGTGCCTGAACGTTTTGGTTGCCAGTTAGTGTCTGTCCGCTGCTGATTGGAATTGTTTACACAGAGCATGATGTGCCTGGAAGTGCTAGGTTTTTTTTGTGCCTGAACGTTTTGGTTGCCAGTTAGTGTCTGTCCGCTGCCGATTGGAATTTTTTACGCAGAGCATGATGTGCCTAGAATTTGACGCAATATGTTATTTGATGCAATTAATGTTTTTTTATGAGATTGATGGGGGCCCCCTGATTTTTGGGAGGCCTATGATTTTGCCACGAAAGGATTGGTTGTTTGAGTTATCGTGATTTTAGAGTTACTGTGGTCGAGCTACAGCTTCGGGGTAGCTTGACTACAAGTTGGCTTCAGCAACTTTCGACTAGACCCCGCTCCTCTAGGTTATACGGTGGATGTTTTGCTTATAAGTTTTGTTGGGTTGCCTGGGTGCCTGGGCACTCGCTGGCAACAGGTGGGGGACGCAACAACCATTTCGGTTCGAACGTTCCTCTTAATTAAGGTGTTGCCGTTAGTTTTATAACTACGCTGCGCCGGCAAAACGCGCTGTTTCAGTGTTGTAGCTTCCTTTAGCGCCGTCCACGCACCAGGGATGAGTCAATGCTTTGCACGAACGAACCCGACGGCCAGATGGTCTCTGTCGAAGACTGTGTAGTATCCGCGTAGTAGAACCTGCACAGTAGATGTCGTATATGAATTGTCTGCATGATTCGGGGTTGCTGTACTATATGTTACTTGTCCGAAAGTCCACCCATTCAAACCCTGAAGAAGAGAACGATTCGCATTCATGGACCAGCATCCGCTTGGCATGATAGGGAAGCCTACGTCTTCTGCCTCTGACTCGTCCGCAGCTATGCCCAGCATGCACTCATGCACACCGTCATCGTCGATGAACTCTAGGACGTAGTCTTCTGGGCTTAGTTGAAGTTCAACAACAGTCGGCTCTCCGTCTGGCGGTATACAAGTGGTCGTTTGTGGGGGATATAGGAGGGAATATTTAGGGTTGCTTACTAGTGGGCATTCCTTGGAACTGGAAGTTCTGCGCGAGTCGAAACGTTTTCGTCGAATGTCCGCCAAGGAGGGCAGCTGTAGCTCACCAGATCTGGAAGAGTTTTCTTGTCATCGCATCCGGACACGCGTAAGTCAGAGAGGTAATGCTCCATCACTCTCTGTTCCGTCGAAGGTGTTGTGTGGATTACGATGGGGCACGTGACAGCACAGACAGGAGCTGGCCTCTGAATCGCTGCAACTAACTGACAGTGGGGGCGTAGATCAGGTAGGTCCCCGTGTCGACTATCGATGCGCCTCCAGCTGATAGTTGGATAATATTTTGACCATAACGCGAATAAATTAATCAACTAATTCTGCAAGATCCTACTGTCGTATGCATCTCGTCGGCGTCCAGAGATGTTCGTTGTTTTCGTAGAGTAGGAGATCATACGACCGCTTTTCGCAACACTTAAAACCTGAACTGTGGCAGTTCGAGAGTTTGCGCAGCATTGTCCATCTAATGCTGTACACTAACTACAAGGAAGCAGCACAGTAAGCTACCTGTCCAGTAGCTGTTGGACGGATCCACTGCTACCCAGCTTTAGATACTGAATAAATAAAGACAGGAGCTATCGTCAGCCTTGACTACCAAATCGTCCTTGCCTGAATTCCTCAGCAGGGTTTTCCTTCTTCGATAGATCGGCGCCGCCAAATGTCAACGCCCCGCCTGCGTGCGCCCTTTCGAGATGGAGAAAGCGGGAGAAGGCTTAAGTATTGAGTTACCTTCGGCCGTGAGGTAGTATGCAAACTGGTTCTTTGAAGGCATTTTGGGTGTTTCCGCACTGACAAAAAAGCGGGAAATGAACGTACCGCCAGATTTCTTTTCTTCAGTGCACCGGTTGTAACAATGTGATCGATGCTGACCATATGCCTTTGGTGTTGGGCATTTTTTTTCAACGGTGAGTATCACTCACAAGGGCAGCACTCCACGCTCATCTATCTCATGGTTTTTGAATCCAAGACCAACAATTCCATCCTTGAGTGCTCGGCAACTCAGTTTGTCCTTGCTGCACTCCTCAACTCGTTTACTACCGTACCCATTCCAGATCCTGTAGGAGCGGTATGTCGAGGTGCGTCTGTTGAGCATCACAAACGATGAGCGTATGCATGAACCCGTGGGTATGCAGCCGGTTGAACGGGAGACGCGCGTACTGCGAAGCCAATGTTGGTATGCGGAACGGAAATGCCGTTGCCCAAGTGAACCGTTTCATACGCTGTGTAGGCCGCTGCGCTTGCAATCGGTGAAGAAAACTTGACGACAATATTGCCTCACCGTCATAGCCTTGGAGAGACCCGCTCAGGTACTGCACATCCATCTGGCTCGGACTACCATCCTCGTTGAAGCGACTTTCGAATGTCGAGCTCTTTTTGTATTTCCGGTGCTCGCGGCATTGACTTGACATGCTGCACAACCATAAGAATAAAGATTATACAAGATTCAAGCGCATGACATGTAATATGTATTTGTGTTGATGCTCTAATGCTCCATATTGTTGAAGGAGCAAGCAACGGGTCAGGCTCGTACCAGGCCTCATCTGGAACCCAAAACTCGCATGACCCAGTGTCAAAGAGAACGCGGAATGTCGAAACGGGATTCATTCCGATTCCAATATCCGCAAAGTACGTTGCTAAATTCGTGTTTAGGACGTATTTTTTCAGGGCAAGCTTTCACCAAATAATGTGGTCAGTGATACCTAACTTTTTCGAGGCAAGGACTTGGTCATGCAGACGTATGCTTGCAAACCGCTTAATCGTTCGATGACTCAGCTGCAAAAGGCTAAAGTGGCGCCTTCGACGGAGATCACGCCTTTGATGAACAGATCGAACATGATTTCTCTCCATGAAGTCACCAATTTTCTCCAGCCTCACGGAAACTCCGCTGTGCTGTACGGGTGCCGTCGATGCAAAAAGTAATGCCTGACACACTGTCGTAGCGAATAACGTCGACAGAATCATTTTTCATGTGTGCATAGATGGAATATGGATCATTGAATAAGCAGAAGAAACCGTTTCAGCCGCAGGATCCCATCGTAAGCATGCATACGCCTTGTTTTGCCCTGCCGAAGACTCGTCAGTGTCAAGACACCACAGATCGTTGCAGTTAGAGCCTTGCCCGGGTTATGCTTCTGCATTAAATGTGTGTGCAGTTCGTCTAGCTTTCGTCGTGCTCTTTGTCCCTTATGAGCTGGGCCTGATGCGTGTCGATAGGCGACATGCAACACCGGCTGGGAACAGATGTCGGCTGTAGCCATAGCAGTGAAGTGTGCAGCGTTGGGAAACCCACAAAACTCCTTATTCGGTCTCAACAGAATTTTCAGCTCTATTGACGCAATGATCATTGAGCAGGTAGGTATGCAGGGGGCAGTGTTACCCGGTGCTGTCATCGCTCTTTAAAGTAGTCTTCCGGGTGATATTGTTGTAAAACAACTTTTTTCATGCATGTGTGCTTCAGTCTACCAATTAAAACTGATTAGGGTTGGTAGACATTGCTGCTGGAGTTACACAGTTGTTGCTTGATCGAGCAACGGTCCCCAGCATCGGGTCCAAACAAGGCGACTCAGTCCATGGGTCACAATATTAGCTGGGGCATTCTTCTACGCTATGCTTGTATTGTTGAACTGCCACCATGAAAAATTTCATTTCTGGAGAATATTGCTCTTAGCCTTTCGCTATTTTCGTGGGGTATTGCGGAGCTGCTCCAGAGCAAACTCATGTTCTAAGGCGGCCTTTCCATACAGCCTGGAGCAGCTGCTGCACCAGCGCGGCAATACCTCTAATGCGGTTATAGTTCGGAAATGTTCATCCACAGACCGCCACTTTCATGCATATGCACACCCCACTTCTGCTGAAGTTCAGCGCTTAAACGGCCACCTTGTGTCTCGCTTCCTAGCAAGCCCACGAGAGTGTCAATCTTCGGGGGCTGCCGCAGGCGGAATGAACCCTGGCTTTGCAGTGTCAGTATGGAGTGGAGGAGTCTTCCGTCCAGTTGAGGACAGCAACCATGTGGTGGTGACTGCTAGGCACCCCGAGAGTACCAACAACAGCAACGAGGCTGCTGCGAGCGATGTCCACGTCGTGTTTTCTGGAGGCCGCATATTTGGGGCTTCCCCAAGACGCTCAGCAGCGCTGTCACAGAATGAATCTGCCGATGGCGCTCCATCACGCCATACTTTGGTTGTGTTCGGTGACCCTGGCTCGTGCGGTGTGGGGAGCGTCGATGCATTTGAGGAACTGTACTCCTCTTTGGTCCAGATAGAGGACTCCTGGGAAAGCAGAGTCTCATGCAATTGCCATGAATCATTTCAGGGGCATAGAGAGCAGCACAAGCAACCCCACCTCACTCATGGCCCCTCAGCCGCAGCTGGCGCCACTTCACACGGCGTTGCCCCTGCCTTGTCAAACGGAGTATCGGATGCAAGCACGTCTGAGCTGCTTAAGGCACTAGGCCCCCGTCGAGCTGCATATGCGAGTCGAATTAGTGCGGCGTTGTCTGGTCGATGCCGGTGGCGCTGTCAGTTTGATCGACAGAGCTGCGGGGTAGCGCGGCCGGCCTGCAACAGCATACCTGCCGCAGCTTTCACCTCCCCTTCTGCTGCCTTCTGTCTTGCATTTTACTCGGAGACATTCGGGCTTTTGTTCTTCTGCAGAGACAAACTGGGCCTCGCCTCTTTGCTGGCGGTGGCCCAGGGCAAAGGCCCAGATGAGCGACGCCCCAGGTTCGTCTTAGCAACATCTGCAGCAGACTTGCGTAGCGTTGACCCCCAGAGCTGGCTTGGAAAAGGAGCTGAAGAACGGGCCATTGAAGTTCCGGTGGATGGGGTTTGGCTATTAGATTTGTGGGCTATAGCGGCTCCAGCCAAAAATGGTATCAACAATGTGCCCGTTGCAGAGGCACAGGCATCCTTCGCTGCTGCTTTTACGCCTTTCGAGTCCACCGACGAGTCTGACAACTGCAGCGCTTCTCTTCTCGCCCTGCCCAGTGTCTACTGCATCCCGTGGGAGCAGCCGAGCATCCTCCGCACGACCCACATGTGGTGCGCCTGCGCCATTTGCGCGAGATATCGAGGACAGTTTTGGCAGGGAAGCGACAGTCAGTGCTGCCTCCCGCTCGGCACGCATGAGTGCGTCTTACCGCAGGAGATTGACCAGTCCTTGAGAAAGTTACTAGGGTGTAGACTGGAACTCGCTGGTGCGTCTTCCGTTCCTCCTGCACTAGAAGAGGCAGTTTTCCTCGGAGCTGTACAGGAAGGAGGTTCTTATCTATCTTCTGCCCAAGTCCTGAAGTGTCTGTATAGAGAGCTTTTCGGGGCCGTCGCCAGGGCCATCCCGGAGGCCCTACAAAAGATTGCTGCCACTTCTGGAGCAAGAGCAGCGCCCTCTGCTAGTGGCGCTGCTCCTGAAACGGTCTTTGTGGGCCTTTTGTTTTCGGGGGGCGTCGACTCCACATTGCTGGCTGGAATGCTTCTGCGTGTTCTCGCCGCTGCCATGGTGAGATTAGGGTTCGGCATGTAGCGACACAACGAACGGGGGCATGCGGCGGATTAAGACTTGGACTTCGTCTGAATACTGCTGCTGTAGGGGGGTAAAGTCAGTGCGTTGTTGTGTTTTCGCAGGCTAAGACGCCCCCTGAAACTTCAAGAGAGCACGCACATCAGGCGGCGCTCCCTCAGCAAGTGGTCGTCGTTGAGCTTGTTTCCGTCAGTTTTTCGGCAGAGGCGCCAGACAGGCTGACCGCGTTGCGTAGCTTCCAGGACGTGCTCGGCGTGCTGCACTCACTAGGTGAATGCCACAAGTCCCAGAGCTGCAGAACCGAGGCAGGAGTTACTCCATCCAACAACTCTGTCGCAGTGATAGGAGACTGGGCCCTTGAAGTGAGGCTGGTGGCCGTTGACGTGGCGAGCACAGACAGTGCAAACTGCCGCAGTCAGCTCCTTGAGGTTATTTATCCAAAGCGAAGCCATATGGACTTCAATATTGCTGCCCCACTATATTTCTCTTCAAGGTAACGGTGATACACAAGGGTCTAACATACAGTAGAGTTCCATGTGCTTGCAGTGAAGTAGTTAACTACATATGCATACGCACCCTTTTCCCCAATCACTGCAACACTTCCAACACTGCAGCTTTTCGGGTGCTTCGCTGTAGAGGAATTGGATATTTGGTATCTCCCAACTTCGACAAGACCGACGAATGGCAGCAGCTCCGAAAGGAGGCTTCTGTGTGGAAGGAACTCTTAATCCGTCCGCTTTTTCGTTCACGTCGCCGACACTGTAAGCAAGGGACTCACACGCCCGATGTGTGCACTGAAGATACGCCAACGCCAGGACAAACTGTAAACTCAGAGAAATCGCCAGCTGTCTCTGCTGTAGGACAGCAGCAAGAAGAAAAAGTCGTGTGTCGGGTTTGCCGCCGAAAGGCGAAGGGTGGCTGCACTCACGGAGCGTGCAAACTGTGTTGCGCAAAATTGCAAGCTGTCGCAGTGCAGCGAGCATTCCAAGCAGATCCCCATACCCACGCCTGTGATGAGATTCACGTGGGGGGGCAGGGGCGGCTCAGGATTTCTGACCTAGGCATTGATGTGCACACAGCTTGTCCGGTACACCGTAAACCCAGGCTGCTCTGCTCCAGAGAAGATGCAGGCGACGAAGGCGGGACAGATGCGTACGTCGGAGGACTTTCACGCCCAGGCGGTGCCGTGGCCCCCTTCAAATCCCTTTCTTTGCTTCCATGTGGGGTGCATTTGGCCACCAGCGACGCTGGGCGACCATTTATGGCGATGCAGCTGGCTCACCTATACGAATGGTGCACTTTAGACGAACGGCGGTGGCGCTGCGTTGATCGAGTGACAGGTAAGCTGCGCTTTCAAATAATCCATGCTGATGTCGTGTTGTAGATCAACCAGAAACATGTAGAGTGCATCTGGACGTCAGCATTGTGAGGCCGAAGGTCCCGTGATGCTTGCGTGTCAGGCACGTATACTGTGCAGAGCACAATATTGCTTATGGGAAGCGGCGCGGATGAAATATTTGGTGGCTACGGTCGCCACCGAACGGCGAACTTGACGAAAGGCTGGGAAGCCCTTCGAGACGAGCAGATTCTGTAAGTCTCCACATGATAAAATGGTGTAAGTTAGTGAGACTGCTCTGCTGTATTGAATATATGCAAACGCTAAAGCGTTGCTGAGTGGCGATAAGATTCATGACGCTCCATTTGTATGGGAGTGCATGCAGGGATCTGAGGCGCCTCTGGCTTCGTAACCTGGGCAGAGACTGCCGCGCAGTCTCCGCATTTGGTCGGTGGGCCCGTCTCCCGTTCCTCGATGAGCAGTTGCTGAAGTTCGTTTGCTGTTCTGTACCCTTCGAACATATCGTTCGACCTTCAGCCGACGTGTATGCAGCAGCAGAAGAGGCGATGCGATGCCTGCTTATGAAATCCATAATCCCGATGCATAATGCCAGCGAGGAGAAGTTGAACTGCCTATCGAAAAGCGGCGGACGAACGGAACTTGTAGATGTAGCACAAGAACCCACAATGATTCCAACTGATGTATGCGCAGCGGCAGGTCACGGTGACAACATACAAGTGGAACCAGCCGCTGATAACGGCGATTTGTGCTCTGGAAACAAGTGGCTCATCCGTTTGTGCGCAGCGGTCTGTGGGCTGCCTTTTAGCGCCGCAGCCAAAAAAAGAGCCATGCAATTTGGGTCGCGCTCCGCCAAAGTTTCAAATAGCGAATATTTCCCCAGCAATCGCAAAGCCCGAGGAGACGCCAGTTTAGACAGTTGTGACGAAACTCCTCAATTTTGACAGTCACGGCTCAGAATGGCCAATTCCAACTGCCCGCCTCAAAGCCTGTTGGACACATCTGTCCAGTGAAGAATTTTTGTTTCATGTTTCTCCTAAGAGAGGTTTTCGTTAAGGGTGTGCCCCCCTTTGGCGCACCTCGCGCACTAAGTCGCCAGTGGTTATATATATATATATATATATATATATATATATATATATATATATATATATATATATATATATATATATTACTTGCCAGGCTGTGCACAGCTCAGCAAAACTTTGTTTGAATGCACAGCAAGGGGAACAACAGATGCGTTTGTTTCTAATCGCGAGGCAGCGGAGGCGCATCATACATTATTTGAGGTTCAACTCGTACAACAGTTTCAACCGTTCAAATTGCAACTGGCTCCGCTTTTCCCCTCAAGTGCGGCAAGAAGTCGGCTGGTTGGCTTGCCTAGCTACCAGGGAATAGACGGCCTGGACCACGTTAGACAAGTAATGAGCCTGCAACTAAGAAAGTCCGACTAGTCTCCTTGAGAGCATGTTTAGTAATTGACATGCACTTGAATTTTAGTACCCATCGCTCATCAGTTTCCGTACACAGGTGCGAATGCTTCACTGGCGCATACCCCTGCATCGCATGGAAGTACTAGCCGTGCGAGCTTGATTTCTGTTTGCAGATTCTGTAGACGATATTTGGATAGTTCGTGCTTGCCAGTAGTGTATCAATATCATGCAACGTCCAGCCAGTTATCCATCTCTACTTTGGAGATCATCCACTTGGGAGGTTGCCGGAGGCTTTCGCAAATTTGCATGTGAAGATGGACGAATTGCTGTCCAGTTGAATGCCAGTAGCTACGTTATCCATCCGACCACGGAGGTATTCCGCAATTGCAAATGTGGTGCAGAGCACTGGTGTGCTGCCAATAGTGGCGACAAGCTTAGCGCTTCGCTAGCCCGGCCAGAGGCAGGGGCGCAAGTGCCACTAGAAAAGGTACAACGGCGTGTAGCGTCTTCTTCTGTGCGTTTCAAGTGGACGTGCAAAACTTTACCAGAGAAACCTGTTAAACAAATGATGGCCCTGCCCATTTGGCTCCATGGCCCGCTTGTACTGTTTGGATTCATGAACAAACAATGGGACGTTTGACCAACGTCCCTCCCCCTCACCCGAACATTGTTTTCACCTGTATTCCATTCGGTCATAACAACCCGGCCTACACCTCCTAAAAGAAGTATTCCGAACAACTTTGGGTTGATCTCTACATCCTTCGAAAATTGAATATGAGCTCGAGGAAATATTTGCATGCCCTATCAAAGCATGTGCTTCTTCTCTATTGCCCGGAACTTTCTCCAAGAGCACAGGGCAAACAGGACGACCAGGAGGAGAGCTGCTAAAGCAAGAAGAAACACGCTGGCATGCTTGACCGCGATATCCTTCTCTAACTGGCTTGACAAATCGGTCAATCGAGACAGGATTGGCGATTCCCCTTCGTGCGGAGTGCCTGAGTCCACAGGAAGTCACTAAAGCGCAGGCAAATGAACGTTCATCCTCGCGCTGAGCGGAGTGAGGGCCCCTTTAATAGGACGGTTTTGACGCTAGTCATCAATACGTGCCAAGCGCAACATTGCTGCTCAGCTGATGGCAGCATAAGGAACCTACTTGATTTGATCTCAACTTGTTTGTGAATGTTGTGCAATGCAGATGTGTGCTGTTGGGAATGTCGTTTGAAAAGATCCTTAAAACCGGTCAACTCCGACTTTAGGGACTTCACGGCATCTGGCCCGTCGTCCCCCCACAGTCTTCTTAGGTCTTGTCTCAAATCGTTTACTTCCGCGCTCAGCATGTTCATTTGACTTCCGAGTGACGTCAGCATTTGCAGGACCGTTGGATCTCTGACGCAAATACAAAACAGCTCATATGTAACGAAAAGTCGTTCAGCGAGAGAAGCCTTTGCCTCCAAATGTCGGAGGGCCGTTTATGCGAAAGGGAGATGAGCCTCTATACGCCGCTTACGATTGGCTGTGGGGTGCGGCCAAATAGGCAGTTGCATGCCCATGTCCTGAATAGACGCCATATTGTTCAGCATGGGCTGAGTGAGCATGAGCATGAGCGTCAGTTGCTACCTGGCTTCCATCAGTGGGGTGGACTGCTTGTGGCGACCCGGGGGCATTATGCTGAGGAGGAAGAGGATCTAGGCTCCATATTTTCACGAAATGAAGTACAACCTGATCTCCTGTAGGCTGCTGCCCAGGTTGGCCTTGGGCTACGCCAGGCTTATTGTGGCCTGTAAAACCGATGAAGCCATGGGCATGCAAATGAACATGCTCCAGCGAGCATGCAGTAACCCATGCTGAGGTAACAGATTCGCGAATTTGAGCAACTACTCCTTGATTCCCAACTATGACACGGAAGAGAACCGGCTGAAGCAACGAAAACATCACAAGCACACTGCACCGTTCCCGCAGAGCGGCAGATTCCCGTGCTCCGCACGTTGACTCCGCTGTTTTCCAAATGTCGACGAAGTCCTTTCTAATCTTTAGTTTGGTCTGGGGTTCCAGAGAAGTCCTGAAAAATTCCAACTTACCGTGGGCTTGTTTCTATATTGGTAAAAGAAGGCAGAAGAAGTAGGGATTTCTTTGGAGAAATCTCTGCTGTCATCAGTGTTATGAACGCATGAAATCGACGGATTGATGTTCCCTGTTTGGTCGGCTGCCTTGAAGATGACGCCAAATCCCTTGGGGTTACTCTTGTATCCTACAAGGCTCCAGCTGGCTTGCTCTTCCGGTGTTCTCGGGTAGACGCTTGCATACGGCTCATAGACATACCAAAATGCGAACCCGTCTGGCTGGCTGTCGCTACTGGCTTGTCCTCCAGGGGCTCCTTGAACGATTGGATCTCTCCCGAACACTCCGAACCCAAACTGTACTTCAAAGTGGACCGCAGGAACTGCAGTGCGCTGCCAGAACTGACCGGTTCTGTTCGCATCTGCTGGCATCAGTACAATGTGGTCTTCCGACGGGACGGTGGACATGGCAACGTCCCAGTAGCCTGGTACATTCATCGCAAAGCTTTTGCATACGCAGAATAAAGTCTATGCGAGCACGACTAACGCTAGCAGATAGGTGCTCGCCCCCATGCGCATCATTCGTACACTTGCGTATGCTTCAATTCCGAGCAGGCCACTCACCAAGATTCTCCTGCGTTAGAGGAGGCTTCCAGGAGTGGGTGGTCAGCTCAGTTGTGCCACTGGACTGCTCCCAGAGAGGGTATGTGTTGGGCAGTGAGCTCATGGCAACACCATCGTGGCCGTGCGGAGGCGGTGAGGAGTCGTGAGCCCCATAACCGTGCGAACTGTGCACAGGCGGTGAAGGAGGAGCTGCAGAATGCTCAGGTGGAGGATGGTGATAGCCATAAGCTGCAGAATCAGCAGGGGGCAGGGGGGGGGCCTGTGCTATGCTTGGTTGCGTGTTGTGGTGAACAGGAACGTCCTGTCCCCTTGCGCTCAGTGGCAAGACAGCAGCAGCAGCCGCGTAGGCGTAAAATGCTCTTTGGACGTATCTTGACATTGTATATGACGTAGAGAAGCGGCCTCGGCACGGCGTGGCTTGGAGGAGTATCAGAGCCACAAGGGCTCAGATCAACGTTCCGGAACTTCAGAACCCCGTTTTCCCCGCTTTTTATTGCTTCCTGCTGAGCCGTTTCCTGGAGAGGGTAGGGCTTCGTCCTCGAAGTTTAGGATGCGAGACCGCGATGTACTGCGCGCGCAATCCGTGCTGGACTACGGCGGCGTCAGGTGAAGTTCGGCAGCCTCACCTGCTGATTACTTCAGAAGAAGGCTGTTTGGCGGCTAGATAAGCCTTAAAAAGACCCGCAAAGAAATACCATTGATAATTTCAAGGCGCTGTGCACGTGTGCGGCGTCAGGTCACTGCCGCTCCAAATAGGCAAACCTGCGGTAACCTGTGAAAAACACCGAACGAAGTGGGGGATAAATAATTCTTCTTCCCCTTTTACAAAACAAAACCATATTTTTAATATGGTGAAAAGGTTCAAGAGGTTCTGTGTTGGAGCCGTACATCGCAACAGTCCGCAGACAGGCACGTCTCATTCCTGCTAGGCGCGCGACTCCACGGCAATCACCTAACTGACCAGCGGGCTCCTATAGAGAAGGAAGCATCTATAGAACTATATTTAAAGGCCGAGTTGACTTTGAAAAAAATATATACATAAGGAATTAAGCCTAGTGTGCGAGCTTTGTGCCAACTGTATCGCAGCAACCAACGTGCTGGCAGCAATACCGAACTCGAGCGCCAGCAACACGACAGCGACTGAAGGGCCAGGATGAGCCTTATATGCAGCCATATATGCTACCTGCAGCGCATGATGCCCAAGCAAAGTTTCGTAACAGAACTCACCACTTTGAACGCAGGGGTGAACTTGAGGAGTAGCCTTGACTCGTCCCCTGGGACTCCGTGAGAGCACTTCAAATTCTAGCTCATTTAACTCTCGAAGCAAAGTTTAAGGGCCACAAATCCTCTAGCAACAACGCTCCCACAGCCAACAATCACCCCACGGGGTTCGTGCCTTCCCTTTATGCTCGTATTATCTGCAGCGAGAATGGTGGACCCCACTCCTGCACCAACACCCTAAAGAATTGTTAAGCGCCTCCTTGGCCATCAGTATCCAACTTGCACAAATCTCAGTGAAGCTTGAATTCGTGCGTAAGGCAAGGCGTATCAGTGCCTGCCTCCATGCTCGCAGACAGTCGGTAAGTTCCCGCTCGCCTTGCCGTCATGTACTATTATATCTCTACTTCCTATAGAATGTCATGTTCAGTACTGGAGATACTCCTGCAGAAACAAGTTTTTGCCCTTTGACGAGGTGAACTATTGAACTTGGTGAGGAAACTTAAGAAGGGAATCGGATCGCATTTAAGTTCCGTCCACGCACCACAGGCGCCTACTGTACGAAGTGTAAATGTTCGCCTCGAGGGAGGGAGGCAGGTGCAACAAAGTCAGCTTGAAATTTGCACATTTGTTTCTAGCCTGTCGCATGTTGGTAACTGACGGCCAAGGAAGTGTCTAATGATTCTCTACTGTGTTGTGACTGCATGCATCGAACGGGGGCTCCGGTATGCTTGCGGAGTTGGCAGACATCAAGAGCTGCAGCAAAGTGTGCTGCAACTCGTCACAGGCCGCCGCTTCTCCGCAGCAGTTCCGAATCCTTCTGCTCTTGTGTCCAGGACGCCTAGATGCTGGACTGCAGGTCAGCTACTTTTCAGTGATTTTTATGCGTGTCTAGTTGCAGCCACGTCATGTAGTTACCCCATACAGTTTTAGCAAGTACTTTCTTGAGATTCCAATGTGCATTTCGTCCTTGCTAGAACCAAGAAGATGCCCATGCAACCTGGTTCCACTGCATATCCTTCACTCAACTCTCCGCAACCACACAAACCCCAACCAATGTGAATACTTCTGCCACTCATATGTCTTACTAGTACCTCTGCCACTCAAACTGAGATCCCCTACTATTTCATACATATGTGCTTCTGCATGCTGATTTTATGTTATCCATATAACCTGTTGTATAGCTCCACGATGTCGAACACTCCAACGCGTGTCAATCGTGCTATTCGGTGGTCACCTGCTGGTGGCTACACCCAACCTTCTGTCTTCTCGCTAACAGTTTAATTCTAACTGTCTCCTACGATACTGGATATATATATATATATATATATATNATATATATATATATATATATATATTATATCCAGTATACATACGTTTACCTGTATCCGCATGAGAAAACTTCTAAAAAGAGCGCAAATACTCTAAAAAATGTCCCTGTCAATATGAAAGTGACTGAGTCCCCTCGCATGGTACGCAGGGCTTAGCAGCGCTCCTCACAGTGCTCACTCGGGAACATCTACCCCTCAGAAACCATTTTACGCAGAAACTGCAGGGGGGAATCTACGAGGCAGGCGCAGCTGTCGCAAGGCCTGCGCCATGAAGGGGTATATGCGATGGCGCTCCGTCTATCGATACACATCTGAACAGCATTAAACCTGCCCAAGAAGGAGCAGTCACACCATTAGCTGGTACAGCTACGCCTTTCCGCGACTCCAAGCAAACCACGAAAAAAGGATGGACGACAACCACGCCCTTGCCTCGTGCAGCGTGCTTCTCAGGTACCGAGGGACGGCCTTAACTGCCACCAGAGGCGGGTTGTAACTGCAACTGTAGACAAACCCGAAACTAAATGGGAAGCTGCAGGTCTCGGGACCCCCCGCACTTGAATGCCTTTCGCAGTACTTGCCAGGCAGCTTGCCCCATGAACTTGAGCATGTGAGAACCGCCTGGAATGTATGACACCAGGAAAGAAGTCAACCCGCACAACTGCAAGACCGAAAAAACAAGAGTGAGCACATATGACTTGGCCATTAAGGTGGCGTATAGCGTTAGAAACAAAGACGAAAAGTAGACCGCTGTGAACGGTAACCTGCACAGAAACGCCCCACACAAATCCACAACATCCACACGCGGGGATATAATAATAATATAACACTGGCGACACCGTTGTTTATACCTCCATGCTCATATGTGCCGTGCGGGACCACACACGACATATGCACCGTGTTCGGCCCCATATGGAGAAATTAACTCAGCTTTACAGCGTTGTGATATCATGGAATATGCCTGATATGAGTAGGTTGGGCGCTGCAACTTGGTGCGTCGCTTAAGCTGACCTCGTGGGCTCAACCAAGTGTCGAAAGAGGGCAAGGACACCTCTTAGGAGCGCCAATGCCGAAAGAAAGCAAAGAGAACCCATTGTGAAAAGCAGGGCAAACTTGGAGGGAGCGAAGACGAGGAGAGGGAGAGTGAGGAAGGCCAGGAACATGAACACCACGCCGACAGCCGCAACAACCCCGAACATCAACATGTTCTGCGATGAAAGAGGGTTGTCAGAAATTGTAGCTCGGGTAGCATTGACCACCGAGTTGGCGCCATCCAGCATGCGAGACGCTCCATCCTTCACTGCAGACAAGCCGGACTGTAAGAGGCCGTTCGGTTCCTGCGAGCGCGGCGGAGCCTTCATAGACCCGCTTGGAACCCTCCCTGGGATTCCCCACAGTCCGCCACCTGTGGGCACCTCGGTTGAGGGAGCGCCTCCAGCTTTCGTCCCTAGGATGTTACCGAGGAACCCTGGCACAGCAGGCTTCCCCCCAGCTGAAGGGCTACGCAAAGGGGCCCCATCCAGTGACACCATTGCGTAACCCTTCTTCTCCTGCTGCTGCGTGCCTCCATAGAATGACAGGCTGTTTGCAAAGTCTCCAAAGCTCTGCTGAGAGCCCATCATCTTCGCCGAATGGCTGGGCGTGCCACGGACGAGCAGCTAGGGTGGGAAGCTAGGCGGGTTACGCGCCCACAAATAGAATGTATTTTAGACAGTTATATCGCAAGAGGCACGAGTTCCAAGACAGAGAGCCCGATGGGCGATCGTGCACACGACACTTCCAAACGCCGCATGGATTCGCTCTTGCCTAAGTTGACTGACCTGCACACGCCAGCGTTGCACGAGGAAAACCGACACAAATAACACAGCAGAAGAAGTCCTGATAGGAAAACAAAAACTCCTAACGGACGCACAGTCTCCTAACCTCTCTAAAGCACGCAATGGGTGGACTCCAGCCCGCAGTGAAGACTGACTGGTGCTGAGCTTGGAGTGCCCGGGGCTTCAGTAGCTGACTATAGGATCATTGACACCGTGCGGTACAGTTACTATGCCAGTATAGTTATTCTCGTTCACTAACTGTTAAATTCTATGGTCTTCTGTTGGGTGGTTTTAGAAGAATGGGGAGGGAGACAGGAATTGGTATCTTTGCTGTCCATAGCGAGTCAAACTGGGACAACCATACTGCAAAGGGAAGTTTCACAAAAAGCGAAGAATATAGGAGCCACCGAACGGAACCAAGCTGCTACTTCGCCACAAAAATTTCACGGGAAAAATAGTTCTGTGCGTGTATTAATTACCCAGCCAACCTAGTAGCTGGCTCGGGTCGGCCCCGCGCCCGGAACGGTAATGCCTCTGGCTGTCCCCGTGTCTGTTCACCACACCGTTCAACAACTAACTATAATTCATCAAGGTTGTCTTGCGAAGTGCACTCTTTATTATGTCTCACCTAGTAATCCGGGTGCTTCTTCCTTAGTGCGTCATTTGTCTTGCCTACCATACTTACTGCATCGCTGTCGCTACTGTATCTGCAATGCACGTTCCTACCACTCCCCAACTGTCTTCAAACGTTTACACACAGCTGGCTTTTCTTTGTATCCCAGGCTTCTCATGCCTGGCTGGTAGCTAGAGCCCTAGGTACTCCACATACTCCGTATGTCCTCGCAACAACAAGTGACTCAATTAACGCATAACAACAGCTTTCTCGCTCACCCCGCCACCCACACACCCCGGCTCCAGGTGAGCCCAGTAGCCAGTCTACACAGTTTAAAGCACTTGAGAGCATTGATTTTCCTCATGTCTGCTAGCACGAGAGCGGTGTCGACGGCAAGCTCGACATATTGCCAGACTGAGTTTGTAGATGATATGTGAGCTACCAGGTGTTTCTGTCCCATGGATCACCTCTCCATTTAACCATATGCTGCACTTGTACACCCAAACCAAGTTGCTCCACAACGTACACAATCTTCTAGCTGTCCGTTGGGGAACTCTGAACGCCGCTTACGAATAACCTGTCCACTGCTGCCTCCTTGCTAATCTATCGGAGGTCTCGTGACTTACCACCGAAAGCTTGAGAGGCATGGAATACGTTATGCTTGTCGGTTGGGAGAAGCGCTAATCGGTATTTGCCTATGTGAGTGGACCGCGGTATCGAGGTTCGAACATAGAACATGTGTTACACTCCGGTAAGGTTGTGCTGCTGAGCCAAACCTCGTCAAGAATCTTGTATTCAACTGCCCGTCTATGGATATCGGCGTAAAACTTCTTGTTCCGCTTCGTCTTCAGAATGCGAGCTTGTGGTATATCGTATAATCTTCTGAAAAGCTCCCTCATTAGCGAGGTGAGCGTGGGAGCCAACAGTATCATATTCCGCTACCGTCGGCGGATTTTTGCCGATCATTAATTCAAAGAGACTCAGCTCTGTGGCCGAGTAACCTGTTGTATTATATGAAAGTTCTAGAGCTGGGAGAAGATGTTCCCACTACTTTCCGCCTGACTGCATATCGGTCCAAATCATTCGTTCAAGAGTATGATAGAGATGCTCTGTTTGACGATCAGTCTGCGAATCATATTCTGCTGAGATTACACGCATACTGTTTAAAAGAGAAATCAGCTGCTTTCGGAGTTCTGACGGAAAGCGGACGTCTCTGGGAGGTGTAATCACACCCGGAAACCCATGGCACCTAATTAGTCGATCTGAAAGCAATTTAATCGTGTCTGCTGTTGTGTTTGTCCTGGTCTTTGAGATGAAGTGGGCCATCTTAGTTAGCGAGCTACTCGCAACTAGGATGAACTCCTGGCCATCAATTATTGACACGCGTTAGGTCCGCGGTAAACTCCGAGCTGAGTTGACTCCACCTTCGGGACGAATTCACAAGAGGCTGAAGCAAACACGCTGTCTTCTAACGCACAGACGCGAAAGTTCTGTACAGGAATATACATAAGTCGTTGCTTATGCATGCCTACCCTGCCAGTAGAAATGCCAACTAAGTGCCTTGTACGTTTTCATCCGCTCTGTATGCCCATTTGTGACGGGCGTATGATGTGAGCAGTACGCGCGTCGAACACTTCGGCAACTGCGGTATTTGTGTGTTATACAACCCACCTAGGCGAACCCGCAGATGTGGAGGCCGGACACTAAAGGTTAAGCAACGCCGAGACTTCTCCACCTCCGTATATTCACATTCTGCCTACACTGTAGCAGGCCTCGTGGAATACGGGACATTTAGAGTAAGCCGCAGCCAAGGCCTCAGGAGAAAGAGACGCCTCAGATGCAACTTCCATGAAGGAGAGCTGGTTAGTGAAGGGTGGCACAGGGTACTCCCCCGCTTGGAACTCTAGATGGACGCCGGGGCGGTGCTTTGGGCGGGGTCCACGTCGTGCTGTTCTTCATGAGGAGCACCCCCATTAGGGGAGCTAGGCACAACGCGTCTCCTTATTCCGGTTGTGTCACGATAATTCCAACGATGACATCGCGCCTAATCTCGGCCTAGATCCTCGACTGGACTTTCCTGCACGGCAGCTAAGGATGAAAACTGGCATACAACTGGAACTACTAGATATACGGGCTGACGAGATGGGGGGATATGGCAATGGCTAAGCGGTTTCGCGGACCTGGCAGATAAGAGGGAGTAAGGACGAACACTGCGAGGAGGTCCAACCAAGGCGCAGTTCCTTCACCGAATGGTTAAGACGAGTTGAGTTGTTGTGCTAAGGCTTGATGATCCATATCATCAGTTGCCTCCAATATGTATTTTCGCTTTTCGAAGGGCATGACGAGCGCCAACAGCTCCTGATCGTAAGCTGAATATTTATACTGCACGGGCGACATGACGTAACCAAGCTCTTGTTCTAACACGTCGCCAGTCGTGTGTCCGGAAGCATCTGTGTATAATTGATGTGCTTTGCTGTACTCCGGTACTTGTAGGCTGGTGCAGTCTACGAGGCGCTGCTTCAGGCGTCTGATAACCTGGGTATGAATGTCATTCCACCAAAAAGGGACGCGAGACACGATAAGGTTCACTAACAGTCGTTCCAGCTCCAGACACTCCAAAGCCATACACATTCTGCAATATTCACAGTACCCAGGAATCGTCAAACGTGTGTGAAATTGGTAAACACCTCAGGCAGCTTTTGTACCGCTCGGAGGTTTTGTGTTGCTTTTCTGGTTTCGTCAACTCCAACCGTGGACCCCAAATTGACGATATCCTGTTTGGCAAACTGACATTTGCGAAGCTTAGGGTGGAGTTGGTTATGCAAAAAGCCAACGAAGTCTGAACAAGTGGAAGTGCGCCTTCGCTCTCCTGAGCAGATAAGGTGGCCACCAAGGTACGCATTAACTCCCTGTCCCAACAAAGACTGTGCGGAAGGATAAGTCATCTCAACGGCCCCTGTTTCTCGATAAAGAGCTTGTATGACTCTCTACCTGACACGGCAGGAGCCATGATCTGATATAGCCCTGGTAGAGGATGCGTCAACTGTCCCACTAGCATCGACATATTTCACTAACTTCTTGGTGGGTACTTTCAACCTCGCACGCTATCTTTGCCTATATCGTATGGGAGGCTAACTTCAGTTATTTTCTTTCTCCAAAGAAAAACACACGTGAGCATATTCGCGTGCCGGTTACCCTCGTCGCGTGTCATGAAAATGAGGCCAAGGAGAAGCGAAGTGTAACACGAGATACGAACATCTACGAAGGCTTCTTGACTCAGCGGCAGCCACGTCCAGCCTCGTCATGCACGACGCAACTTACATTTGGGCTCTGAGCAATTATTCAGCAGTCGTTGCTGTGGTACAGGCGGGGCTAGTGCTTACCCCTATGTGCACTCCCAGGAGCTAACTACTTTTATTGTGATAATGAGACCGTACACCGTCTCCCTCACTTTGCTTACAACGCGCCCAGTGCGCTTGTCAACACCGCTTCTACATTTATTCGGGTCTGGGAGCTACACTCTAGCGCTTGCCACGTCTTAGTCTCGTGCGCACTCTGTCTGCCCGCAATATCCGCATCCGGATCCTGGTGCCAGCCAGATAGCAGAACGGCATTAACCACGGATGTAAACAAAAAGAGAGGTTGAGATCCTATGAGGAGGCTCCAGCTGCTTGTTGTGCAAATGAATATTGCACAAACGTCGCTCCCAGCCAGCTACCCTACTAATTAGTTTTCATGCGTCTATGAACGGACTGCTGGGCAGCCCGCGCGATTCCTGGGGGTCGTTAAGCAAAACAGTGGTGGCCCTACAGTGCTGGCGTGCCAAGGCAGGGCAGCATTCAGTGCCTCTGCGCCCACAGGTAGCCATCTACTTGCGGTGTATCGAGCAGAAGCGCACTATGCCTTCTTCCCCCCAAAATCTCAGTACAGTCGGTTAGCGAAACAGTAGGAAGGGACTGCATCGAGCCCCTAAAAAGACAGATAAAACTGGGGCAGAAGAAACTGCTTCAAACCTCTCTAAAATGACAGACGCAACTAGGGCAGCAGAACAGTTCTTCGGGGAGAGCCACTGCTGCATCCAGTCTACGGGACCTGCACACTTCAACCCGTGGAAGCGCCCGCCGCAAGAAGACGATTGTTTGCAGTGTCTGCATAATCACAAACAACAACACGAGCAGTGGCCTGTTTCGGTACGGTGACCAGTTTCATTTATAAGGCTACGAGCACAGGCCATCGAACTGCCACCATCGTCTGGTCGCAAGCAAGCAGCAACTATCTAGTAGGTAAGCTGCTTTGCTCACCTATCTGCAGGCGCCAACGTAGGCGAACTGTGCACCGGCGCAATTAAGAGCGCATCTGCTGGGGTGAGTGTTGCCATGAGTATCACAAACAGGCTTGTACTCGCGCATGCAGACACAACCTGAGATGCCAGCAAACATATCGCAGAGAACACACAGAGCACAGCACTGTAGGTCAGAAGAACACGTCCTTTTGTACTTTGATAACACTAACGAGCCATCTCATTCGCATATAGAGCTAATGTGGATTGTAGCTTGCTCCTTACCGCCTGAAGTCCCACAAGCGCCTTCGTGGGCAAGAACTGCACCTTGGCACCTCATGTTACAGGCGCTCGAGTGTGTTCGCCCTTGAGTGTCGCATACAGGGCTGTATACCTCAGGGCAGACGCATCCTGCACAGTCAGCCGCCGAATATTGAACGTTGGTTCTAAGCCCCTAACTTCTGAGAAATACTAAACTTGGGCAACGGCGTAGGAAGCTTCTCACTCAATGGGTACATTCTGTAGCTACTGGTCGAACAAGCTAGGGAACGTTCAAGCCAACCAACCGGAGAAAGCTGGTTGAGAAGCGTGGAAGGAACTCATGAAGCCTGCTGCATGATGCAGCACAACTGTGCGTTTGCAAGAGCATCTTACCTGGATTGTTTCTACATGCACCCTCGTGGGCGAGGTTCTTCTCCTGGCAAGTCAGTTTACAGATATTACTATGTGTTGTGTTCTCCGTATCGCAAACTGGTCGATACAACTCTGGGCAAACGCAATCTGCAAATTCCGCAACAACAAGATGACACATGCCGGCATCAATCACAACGACAGAGAGCCCCTCCAAGCTTTCATACAGGTCAGGCGTTCATGCACAAATACAGCTAACACAATTTCAAGACGACCAAACGGCGCGGTCGCTAATGCGCGTTAACTCCGGAGGCGATTTCTAGAGAACACCTGCAATACGAAGTAGTGTAACTGTGTGCTACCAACAAAACCTTACCTGAAGTACTCCTGCAGACTCCATCGTACGAATAGGTTTTACCGCTGCACCGCATAGAACATGCATTGTTGTGTGTTACGTTGTCGGTGTCACATACTGGATTGTACGTACTCGGGCAAGTACAGCCTGCATATTCAACAGACACAGCATCACAAACAGCTGCAAACAGTTTGCTTCACACTCTGGGCATTTTCCGTAGATCTGTGCAAATACATTCATTCCGCCTACGTGAAAGAGCACAGGGTAAATACGGCAGCACGTCTAGTTACGAGGGTATTCCTTACCTCCGGAGTTGTTACAAAAGCCATTGTATGCAAACCGCTTGTTGTTGCAACGCATAAAGCACCTGTTCTGGTGCGTACCCCCTTCTGTATCGCATACTGGGCTCCGGAAGTTGGGGCACTGACACGCTGAACAGGAAATGACAAGACAATGAAGCAATCTGCTATCCCTGGTTAACCTGGTTAACCGTATTCTCGAGCGTCCCGCAGTCACGAACGATCGAAACCCTGGACAGAGCAGCCTACATTTCAAAGAACAACAAGGGCCTCCGCAGACAAGGGCTCATTTACAGTGGGCACTGTACACGCATTCTTGTGTTTGCTACCCTCAATGCCACAAACAGGGTCTCTTTTATTAGTGCACGTGCAGACTGCAGAATCCCGCGAAGTGCGCCCCCAGGCTCAACCAGGCTCGCACCTACCGCTTGTGTCTGGGGCAACACTGATGAGCAGGCGTATCACTTGTAAACGTGGAATTTACCGAAGGCGAAAGACAAAGTACGCTACAAAGGCACAGCTGTACCGAAGAGTTGGCAAGACTTGGAAGAAAGTGCTTTGCAATGTATGTGTTAGCCTGCCTATAGTTTCGTACTGACCGTTCACGCCTGGTCTTTGAGAACAAGCGCCTTGTTGTACCACTTGCGCTCCTGCCCGCCGAGCTGTGCAGAAGTTTCTGTATGTTCTTCCGTTAGAGCCACACACTGGCTGGTAGGTCCAAGGGCACGTACGACCTGCGGATGCATTGAAAAGAGGACGCAGCAGCCTACTAGGAATGGAATAGATCCTAAACCCTGCATTATATGCTCTTACTACTCCAGACGTAGCGAACTGGCAGGTTGTAGCAACACAGGTAGAATCCGTTATCGTTAGGGAGGCTGCGATCTCAATGTATTGACAACGTCCCTCCGGCGCACGGGAATTTCCCCTACAGAACAACTACCCTTTGAAAGCGTAAAAGCACCGGGTCATTATTCATGACATGGTTTCAGTCAATGCTTGCCAGGAGTGAAGGAGTGACTATGCATTCAACGAATCGACGTACCGCTCGCGAACGCAGCCGACGCCGGCAAGGCTACGTCCAAAAGTACGAGGAGAAACGAAAGCTGCAAAGGGGAAAACATGTTTGAAGTTGAATGTTCGAGAGTCTCTGCAAGCCATAGGCGGGCCTAGACTTCACTGGCTTTTACAGGGTGCAGAAATGGCTTGCGATAAGCAAGCGGGCGAGACGGAAGAACCACTGGTCAGGTATACATGCGATAGACTGGAGCCTCTCTTGATGCTGTCACCGAACCAAACGTTGTTTCGGCAGTTTTCAATTGATATTTTATTGGATTTATGTATCGCAAGGAGGGGGGCTGTGACGAAACTGCCAAAAAGCGAGCACCGTGCAAAGGGTGCTTACGCCGCCGCGGGCCCCGCCGAATTTGGTTTATTTGATACAGCAATGCAAAGCTCAAATAACACGCTTAATTAGTACAACAAGCTTAGGTAGCATTCTTAATTCTTCAAGTTTATTGAACGTTTTAATTGATCCCGGGTACACGGGTCACTCGATTGCTCATCGCCGCCAGTGCTGATGAGCAATCGAAGGACCCTCTCACGGTTTCGTATCCAACTCAGGAGTTTCTTCACAAATGTTGAATGCAGCACAAAGGAAGTAAATGCTACATTATTAACCTTAGTCTAGTGTAGATACCCCACCCAAGATCCATCCCCCAGATTGCCGGTAACAGCATTTAACAAGGGCCCAATGCCCTGAGATGGCCTTCCGCGCACCGATAAAATCAACTAAAACATCGAGGTGAAGTGAAATATGTTAATGAGTATATTAAGGATGATAAGTGCAAGGTCCTGCGGATTACCATGGCAGCTCTCCCACCCTTGGTTAGTGATTCAGCCATGAGTGGGGATGTGAGCACAGCAGTCCGCTGTGCTACTTACCGTCAAGCCTGAGGGTCACCAGGATAGCTCCCGGTGACCCTCAGGCTTGACAGACCCTAGCAACCACCCTACATGCCAAAAATGTACTAGTCTAGCTAGCTAGTTCTTTAATAATAAACGATGCAACCTTTACATCCACGTGGTGTGATGTCTATCTGGAGATGTTGCCCATGCACGCCAACGCGAAAACACTACAGATGCAATGCTAAACACAAACAGAAAAAGGTCCATAAATTTTCCGTTCACACAGTTTCTCAGCGTGTTCCCATGGACTGCGCCGGCGCTTATTCAACCACCTGCGGAGTTGGCATCTGTCAGGAGTTAGCAGGTCCGTCTGCAGTACAGTACGTAACTACGCCTGCACATGCTGTGTTGGTTGTGCTTGCTGCTGCTGTTGCGTTGCCGTGTCGCTGAGGAGTTCCTGGAGATGCTTCTTGACAGAAGTCAAGCGGCCGTAGAGTTGCTGCAAAAATAAAGCGTAGGGACCCCACTAGCTTCGTAAACAATAGATGAAAAGCAGAACAACTCATTTTCGAGATTCGTGGGCAGTTCTACACTTCCATTAGTACTTTAGGCAACTATAGCGATTCCTATCACAACGGAGCACTGAAAACACGTAGGAGCTCCTGCGGGGGTCAGTGTGTGAGTTTTCAACGACTTGCATTGGAAAGCAAAGCTAACCTGAAGGAACAGGTGTTTAGCGCGCTCCCTTATGACTTCTACTCGCTTTTCTTCAGTCCTAGTCTTCACTGCTTTCCGCTCCGCCTCATGCAGTTTAGTAAATGATGCAACGCGCGCATCGAGTTGCAGAAGTTCAGCGCTCTTTTCGGCTGCCCACAGCACACGTACGTCAGCCCCCATAGAAGCGTGTGGATTAAAACAAATTGAAGGTAACAACCTTCCATGCCTGGTGCCGTATCTGATCTTGTAACTTTGGTAATAAACCACCTTGATTCCCCTTGCAGTCAATAAAAACATGCCCCAAGTGTGCCACATAAATTATCTGGTGTCTGAACCTGAGCCCTTTTCCTGGAACATGATTGAATTCAGCCTTTCCCTTGTATTACTTGGGCCTCACCTATCGCCTTGGCAAGTTCCTTCTGACGGTTGGTGTAGCCCGTCGTGAGTACCTTATACTTCTTTTCTAGCTTTTTGGTTCTCTGGACAGCAGCGGCTAGGCCACTTTTTAACGTTTCAACTTGGTGCGCATACACTTGGAGACGCTCATTCGGGCTCAGGGTGGATGAAGAGACGTACCTGCATAAACACAGCCACCACTGTCTGCAGTAGTAAGCGTCTCCAAGAAAGCGCGGCACGATAAATCGTCCGCAGCAACCCGCATTCACCATATCAGTAGCGTGTAGCCGGCTACACACGCTACACGGTAGTATCACAGGCTCCTTGTCTCCCTGGAAATGCACTACGTGCTGTTTGTTACCCAATGAGCACAGGATACCCGGTGTCAACGCGTGCATTCATGCTCACGATTTGGAAGCTGGGTTGAAGACCAGCTGCGTCTCCAGTGTGTAGACAAGTTTGTCCAGTCTAGGGTAGTTCTCGTCTAAGCCCCAAGAAGCCAACTCCGACTCTACAAGTTCCCTCGCTGCCTGCCCGAAACATCGCATGACTGTGGTAGCAGTCTCTGTGTCGGTCTGGCGTGCTCTTCACCCCAACACTAAAACAGACCACTAACCGATGACACCGTGTCAAAGTTCTGCAAGCTGCATCACTGAGTTGGTCAAAAATACCTGCATTTCTTCCAAGCTACACGGTTCAAGCCCCCCAGCAGGCGGAGGCGGCTGCAGGCAAAAATCACACAGCACCATGTTGGCTGTATTGCTGTACCAACGCAACAGGAAGCAAAACGTCCGCAGGGGGAAATGGTGGGATGATGCCTCAATATCGACGGCTAGAAGCAGTTATACAATATGACTCGATTTGGCAGACATGAAGAGCTCACGTTAACTCCGCGAAATGGGTGTTCGTAGCAGTCGTGTTGAACGAGCAGAGTCTGCAAAACAAATAGATAAACGTGGAAAGTTTCGCCAGTGCCCGGAAACAAAAACAAACACAAGCACGAGAGAGCTACAGGCGCACAAAAACAAAGCACGAAGCTCGTGACCCAAATTATCATTCCGCGCTCCTCCAGCAATCAAATAACTCAATTAACGCACAGCAGCATGCCTAAACAGCGGAGGTCCTGAGTTGGTTGCTGGGACCGGCTGAAAGAAGTGGCAGGCAGTATAACAACAATTCCCTATTGTCGTGTTATACGTTCTGAAAAAGCCAGCATGACAGATTTTATTTGAATGCACCAATCCTATCTACCCACCATAACATTCTCCGTAAGAGAAGCAGCTTCAGAAATTGCCGCAACCGCAGCGTCTTTCCCTTCCTCAGTAATGACCGTGTCGTCATCCTGCTGCAGCTGCTGCTGGACAGCCGCAGCAATTGCCGACGCCGCGTCGATTGATGGAGTTAACGGCTTATGTGGGGGAAGTATGGGCCTAGGAAGTTGCTGTTGCATCACTTGAGTTTGTTCCAAGAATCGCCTCCGCGCTGCCTCGGCTGCACGTTGCTCCCGACGCTTCTCTACATCTTCCATGTCCATATCCTGAATAAGGTGAAGTCGAAAATAACCACTCAGCAAGCACCCCAGTTTTCAAATAAAAACAACTCGAGGAGTCGCTTCAGCTTACAAGAGGAAGTACGGTGCTTGAGCTTGCACAACAGTCTAACGAGCTCAACGACAAGGAATGGCATTTCTGGTCAATCGTTCTCCTAACATGTGCAATTTTCATAGGAAAACAAAATAAATAGGAATAGCTTGGAGCTGCGGGGTAATTTGGAGCCGGTCTTACAGCCTCAGATTCAAGAAGCTCCTTTTCCTCTTCAGTAATATCGTCTGGAATTTGTCCCGTGACATCATTGCGGGGAGCAGGGAGGGAGGCGAGAGAGGTGCGCACTTGGAGACGCGCAAGCTGCAACTCTGCTTTCGAACCCATGCCGCCACCCTCAGAGGCCGAGCCTGCGTCCGATGGGTCATGGAGTGGCGTGGCGCTGCTGCCGTGACCCGTGCAGGTAATGCGAGTGGCTGAACAGTAAACAGCAAACAATGATCCAAAGCATCCTTCAAAACAAACAAAAGAAGGAACCATTGCACTGCTGTGAAAAGGAATGCGTGTCCATCCATACATTCCACTAAAAATGATTTCTGTAAGCTCTAATTCCGACCTTGGCCCTTGGCCAAGCGGCAAAACAGACGCAACTGCCAAGTCGCTGCTGCCTGACCTGCAGTTAGCGGCGTGTCAGATATGGTGCCAGTCAAACGACTTCCACGGAGGTGCTGTTGCAAAGCATTTGGCGTTCGAACGTCATCAGGAGTCAGTCCCTTTCCTCCCGGAACTTCCTCTATTTGAGCATTTTCTTCCCCCTATGAAACGTAAACAAAACGTGTTACTCGGTGTCCTTATATCATCTCCCACTCTCTACATTACTTCGGGGCCCCTGACGTATGCAGCTGGAAGGTGGCTCATTCATTCATTACTGCAAACACTAAAGCAACGTCATATCTGTTGCCCACCAAACGTGCGTGCTTTCCTGTATGCGCAACTCAGTACTCGGTAGTCTAAACACCGCCTACTCTTCGTTTCTCCGTCATTCTAACTGCTTACCTCCAGCGGAGTTTGAATCCCAAGAAGAGCCAACGCATTGCGCGCCTCCTGCTGTACGCGCTCTGACCGCCGCGGAATGCGGGAGACAGCCGTAGTTGGCGTAGAAAGCCCTGCAGCAAAAGCATTTGCACCCAAACCAATAAGCCAAATAACCGCTGAGCTGCAAACCCCAAATGCCACTCTAAATGTACACTGTTGCTTGCGGAGAAGCAGCAACGCAGACAGCATACCAAAGACCTAATGCCTACCACTATGCTGCCTAAACCCAAAACACACGTAAGCGATTACAAGCCTGCACCACCCCTAACCTTGTGCTAGTAAAGTAGATGTTTCGTCATGTCCATCTGAACCCGTCAGGAGTGATGCCTGGGCCCCAAGTCGCACTAACTCCTCCTGCAAATCAGCGGAAAGCGCAGATTTCTTAAGTTGTTTCACGTTGAAATGTGTCCACTTCTCCACAATGATGTAGGCGACGGACCGGCGGTGATATTCGGGAGGGGAATCAGCGCAAGGTTCAGAAGCTTACCAATTCATGTTCCTTTAACATGGGCTCTGGTAAGTTAAGCTTCATTTTCTTAGCAATGGCTTCCCTTTTCAATTTCTCCTCCTGCAACTTCAAGTACTCATCAAGATGGTCTTCTCTCAGCCGTTTCAGCTTCCTTGCATCTTCTTTTCTGAGCTTCTCTTCCTCTCTCGCGCGCATATGTCCCTCCATGTGCTGAAGGCTGTTCACACAAATCCCGCCAAAGCTAACCGGCGCAATCCATTATATTAAGGTCTAGTATTATAAACCATTATGTAGCTTACAAGCGCCTCACAAATCACACATCCAAACTAACCGCACGCAACAAGAAAGCTTGTGCGAGACGACGCCTCAGTTTGCCTCGTCGGCACAAATACGCTCGGACCAAACGCAGTATTGCCTAGTTTGACAGCACTGTAAAGAAGGCGCAGGGAAACGCTTTTGAGACACTACACATGAAAAGGGATTGCCATTCACTGGTTACCTGATGTTGGCGAAGTTCAGATTGCCCTCTGGATTCTCTTCTGATGGCACATCGTAGAAACCTGCATCCAAACAGCACGCCCCAGCAGATGCGCAAAAGCTCAAGGCATTGCCTTGTCCGCAGGGTTCATGCCAACCTCACTATACAGTCCTTCAACTGGATCAACGCAGCCGACCCAGTGCACAGCTGCACAATTATCTGCGCAAGCATAAATGTTATAATTGCAGCTGCAGGCCTCAAACTCAAACCATACGCGAACCTGGAGGCGGTTTCTCTTCAAACGGAATCTCTTCGTATGGTTGGAAATTCTTCCTCGTCCTTCTCTTCGCCCCCGTAATGATTCCTGTTCGCACAACACAAGCATTGTCCACGATCGCCTGCAGCGCTGCTGCTGCAGGTTTTGGCATAGATGTTCCTCCTTAAGTCAAATAAGCCGTTAGCAGAACTGCCGTCACTCCAGCCCTTGCATGACAAGGCATCGCATCAGACGCAGTAGACCCACCAGCCGCTTTTAGTTCCCTCTTTTTCTGCAACGCCGCAAGTCGGCGAGCCTCTTCAAGTTGTTTTTCTCTCGCCTGCGTCAAAACGCACCCAAACACCAGCATGTCCACACGGTAATCGTGCACGCGCTTGCACATGACAGGTAAGGTATACCTTGGTCGTTGTCATATGCATGCAGGTCACTGTATCGGCTACTTCCAAGCTTCATATTTTAAAGGTAAAATAAGCGTCCTGTAGCATGCACGGCAACGGTGAGGTGAGTCTATCTTGCCCACCTTCCGCTTGGCCTTCTTGCCACGCGTGTTCGCTAGACGGGCTCTCGCCTCTTCAAGCATTTCCTTTTCGTCCTCAGCCATGTCAATTGGGTCTGCACGCAATGCGAAGCCACTCGAAGTCAAATGAAAATTCTACGTTACCTCCGCCACGAACTCAGTGCTTCATGAGATCGCTCCCTCCAAGAACGCTCACAGTCACGTTCAAACGTAAGTCCTAAACCCTACGTTCTTGACCCAAACCCCTAAACCCTATGTCGCCCACCTGCACGAGAGGGTTTGGTCTCGGGATGCGGGTCAATTTCTCCGGGCCTCAGCCTCCGAGGATCTTCCCTCCCTCGCTGCAACAACAGAAACCCGAAAGTGCTGTGGCGCTAATGATAGATGCAAAAAAGGGGATTTCTTGTGTATCTGTAACATTTCTGCGAGGGAAGGGCAACAACTGTAGCAGCAAAGCAACAGCTGCTCTATCATCGGTCGCATCTAGAGCAGATGCAAACCGCAGGGAGAGCAGCGGCAGGAGTATCAATTGTTCTTACAAGGAAGCCAACTCCTCTGCCCGGTGCCTTGCGGCTTCCCGGCGCCTGGGAGAATCCCGTGCCGCTAGGCTTTCCCTCTTCTCCATCCATACCCTCTGCAGCAAACAAACAGAGTGCATTTTATCGTGCAACCTTTCCTTTGAAGCAGAACTCAATAGGAGGCGCAAGGCGCATCGGCCTGAAGGGTGCATGTACTGCCCCGGAACAAAATCTGCACTCTGTACAAAGCCAGAGGTACAACGGAGAAATGAAGAAGGAGAATCTGGCACCATAAGTGCGCCACTTGCCCTGTGCTTGATCCAGAAGTTCCTCATAGTGCATGAGACACTGGTAAGCTGTGCGTCCGACAATTGGCGCAATCGTGCGCCACTGCGAAGGCATGATCTTGGCGAGGTGAAGCAGCTTCTCCTCCTCCTCGAGCGTCCATTCTGTTTTTTTGACGCTCGGGTCCAGCCACTCGTACCTGCACACAAATTCCAGCAAGACATACGTCTCCCGCCAGCTGCAGTGCCTGCCTTGGGTATCCTTTCTTCCCTCTTGCGCGCGTGCAGTACTGCGGTAAAGGAACAGCACATCCGTCTGTAAAGAAAAGATAGCCCTACCATCTGGCTTTGCATTGCTTGGCGGATTTCTTTACAAGGAGAGAAGCCACACGACTCCAGTTGTTCAGGCCATATTTCATGACCGCCGCCTTGAGGATTTCATCCTCGCTGTTCCTCCACACTCCTCCCTTAATGAATATTCGCACCATCTTCCCCGTTTATCCCAAAAATTAATGGCCCGGGGGACCGGCTTTTGCTGCCTTCGCTCCCCCGCTACAGACAACACGATTCACAAGTAGATGGGGCTACAGGCCGGATGCCGCTGTTGCCAGGCGGATGCTGCTGCAGTTGAAAAACCCGTAAAATCCTCCATACATCCCTCTTCAGCGAATCTCATGCGGACTCCACGCAAAATTCGTAGCTGCTGCTGCTCCTGCTGCTGCAGCAGATCCCTCGAGAGCAGCAGCGATCAGCCGTCGCCTCTGTGGTAGCCCCCAGTGTACTGCCAGACAAAAAGAATTTTCGCCTAAAGACATTACTAATGTGATGATAACCTGAAAACGCCCCGATGAAACTCTTTCCTTATCCGCTCGCGGGCCGCAGCCACTGCATGCAAGCGCTGCAGCGCCTCCCAGCCCGACCAGAAGAACCAGCGCCTGCTAAAGAAACACCGTCACCTTGCACTCTATTTAATCGGAAAAGGAAAACCTGTTGTACAGACTAAGTAGATGTGCAGAAGGGATGTCAATTCTCTCTGTGCAGTGCCTAGGGTTCACTTGATAGTGGCTTTGTGCAGACACAGCGGAACGGTAACTTGCTCAGTATAGTTAGCCTATCTTAGTAACTGTCAAACTCTATATTTCCCCGTGGGTACAAAGGAAAGGGAAGGTACATGAGTACTGGTTACCCAACCCAGATGGCGAGTCTTACGGACAGCTCTCTGAAGTTGTTCCGTGTATTTCTACTCTCGTGCGCGCTGGGTACTGAGGGCCAAGTAAGTGCTCAACAATTGCCTATGGTGTTAGAGCATGCTACAAAAGGGGCTTGGTTGTGCATGCATCTGCGGGGCGTGGTGCAACTCTTGCCAGGCCGCCTTCGCTCCAGCGGTCCAAGGCCCTTGGGCCGCCGGTCTCAGGGCCGCCGGGGGACTGGACAGGAGGTCAGGTGCTTTTTGAAAACTATCATCTCAAGTATTTTGACTCTACTGCAGCGCGCAACAGGCCTCGGAGAATGCCGACGACTCGTTGCAAGCAGCGTTAGTGGAGAGAGTTTCATAACCAAGAGGGGAAATATGGGATATGCCCAGGGGGAATATGCCGTTCTGTAGGAGCCAAAGCGTTCAGAGGCGATATGCTGTTTGGGTTATGTCTATTAACTTAGACGACGGTTGGCCCGCGGAATCCCCCGCAGATGGCGGCCGGCCTGACGCCGGTCGAATGGCAAGCTATAGCCTACTTCTTATTTCTTCGTGCACCCTCGAGCTCACGTTCGACTCCCTTATATTAACCATTATTCGCGGACCATACTTCTTGCTTATTAAACTGATAGTTTATTTGCTGCTTCCCTAACGCCGATAGTAACGGCTAGCTACTTCGGCAATTCCACATCGAGCCTTGAGAAGAGATTGAAAGGCCTCTAGAATGTACCCAGTATGTACAGCGTTTCTAATGGACGAGGATCTGTCGAAACACGGTGCATGTGTCCATCTCTGTGTGTGCGCGTTCGCTACGAGAAGCCAAATGAAGGCAGAAAAATGACTAATGCGTTAAATGCGCCGAAGGGGCTGGGGATGCAGACGTGCTCAGCCTCCTTAAAAAGGAGTTGCAACAGAGGGTGCCACAACTCGCAACCAGCTGCCTCCCCTTCGCACCAGACATAGGACCGTATATCGCTGTGCTCGGGCCACCTAAAGGCAGGAAGGGACCAGCTTCCCTTCAAGAAACTGAGAGTTCAAACGTTTCCTTAATTGTTGCAGCTCTTGAAGCAACAGGCCAACTCCGCTGACCTCCGTTGCAATGAAGCTGAAGCTGCGCACTCCACGAGAAGCTGCGAGTCGAACCTGTCGTCATGTAAGGGGCCTTGGGAAGGCACTCGCCAATGGACTGTGTGTGTCTAGAGCGGACTATCGCGAGGAGCAGAAACTGAACAAACTGTTTGCGCTACCACATGCAGTTACTTCCTCTTAGGCTAAAGGCTGACCGGTTGGCTGTTAGGCGTGCGCCGCACTACGGATCAGTGTGCATGTCGGAGGCCCGTAGGCTCGGTTCTATTATTTATAAGTGTAGGTCTGAAGCAGAATTACAACCCGTCATGTGAACATAGTGGTGTGGCTCCACCCCAAGGTTGACAGCCTTTTGTAAGGCGTGCCTTACACGCACTTCTGCACTCTTTGAACGTTCCCTACAAGTGGAAAATGCATTGCAAGAAACAAGACGCAACGTCAACCAGTAGAAATGTGTTCCAGGATGTCCACCGTTCATGTTGTACAGCCATGACCTTAATAAAAAAGAAACTAATAGGAACGTTGTGATAATAATTGTGGAACGTGTGTCGTTGTGCATGTAAGTGCTTGCCTCCTGCACGTTGTGCACCTCAGCTGCTTCAAACCGTCCCCAGAGGTTCCTGGAATGTCCTCTGAAAACGACATCTCGACAAAGATCCTATCTGAACAGTTAAGAGAGAGAGGTCCGCTAGGTCTGCTGAGCTCGTTCAGGGCGGCAGCGATGCAGCAATCTCAGGGACGCAACACCGGCTGCTGTCTGTGCGGCGATTGGCATTGACCCAAGAAGCAGCCCCACCTGTGCCCATAGCTTCAAGAACAACTGAAATAGAAAGTGCCTCTGCTGTTGCTGTCTGATGCTGTTGCGTTTGGCTCATCAAGGCAGTACTGCGCCCAGCACGGAGTGCTGTACACGCTTCGAGACCGTTGTGACGGCAACCATCCCCCCTTATTTGTAACCTCTTTAATAACTTGCAGCGTGCATTCGTTTAGTACTATAACTACAACGGTCTTAGCGTGAAACCTCGGAGCCTACAGGAATGTGTAGAACGGACAGTAGTAAGCGAGCGAGCAGCGGGGCGACTGAGATGAACCGTAATCAGCTAAAATGACCCTTAGTGCAGTTGTTTTAAGACTAATGAAGTATAAAGAAAGATGTGAACATCTGAATTCAACAAGACGCAACAGGCGACACCTTGCATACTCAACGAGGTGCTCTGGCGCTCCACTCGCGAGTGGCTCGGTGGACCGCGTGTTGCTGGTTGCTGTGTGTGTACATATTTAGATCTTCTGCATTGAATATTAATCATGAGAAATAAATTCAACAGAGTCTAAATAAAGGAGTAAGGTCTCACGACTGAGGTTGCTCGGTTCAGCGGGGGCCCCCGAGGCAGCCTGCGCTCAGAGCACCGGGCCACGGAGAGAGCTCCTCAATGGCTCACGATTAAGCGGTGGTCTTGCTTGGCCTTCTAAAGACCTTCTGCCTTTTGTTTTTAGAGTTTTAAGGCATCTGTATTCTTCATCGCTTCTGCAGCAGCAGAAGGACTGGCGAAAGGACTTCATCTAGGGGGCCGGCCTTCCGCGCCGCCGAGCACGACTCGCTGGCTCTGTCTCCCTGTGCCCTAAGCAACCCCAGGGAATGACCGTCGTTTGCATCGCTCCTCATACCTCTTCAGGAGTCATACATATCGTAGGGACCCGTGAGACGCCCCCGCTGGGGTCGTACATGCAGCCCGGGGCCTCGTAGCTCCGCCGCCCGCCTCAAAGGCACCAGCAGCTGAAACCGCTCCAGCAGCAAGTGCAGTAAAACAGGGAAGGCAGAACAAGGGGGCCACTTCAGCGCCACTCGCCGCTGCATAGCGGCGGCGCTGGAGGCCGCCACCTTCCTGGTGACCCGCAACAGTCAATCACTCACCTTGCGCGCTGAAGGCGTTCAGTGAAGCGTCGGATGGACACCCAGGAAGGCTCAGCGGCGCCCTCTGGTGCTGCTTTGTGTCCTCGTACAGCTAGTGGGGCTTGAAGGTGCGGCGCCCTTTACGGCCGAACAGCAGACCAACGAGGGTCGGCACCAGCAACAGCGGCAACACCAGCCTCCAGCGGCCGCCGCTACTACCCCTCGCTTCTGCAACAAGAGCACCCATAAGGGGCGCTGGAACCTCTGAAGTTTGCCCTTGGGGAAGCTGCAACAGCAACAGCAGCAGGCTCTGGCAGTCGCAGTAGCGGCCGCACCAGTCGGCGCATCTGATATCGCCGAGACGTTTCGTCGTCCGTCGTACAGTTATTTAATTATGGGACTTTTCGTTTTTACAGACAATGCTGGCTAACATCCTTGACCAGGTCATCAAGACCTACGGCAAGGAATTTCTGGGGGACTGGGACCCAATCAACAACTTCAGGTTCGTCTCCACTGCCTCACGAGCCCCAAACATGTCTCAAAGGGCTTGACAACCCCAAGAAGCCTCCATCATGCTGCCTAGGGCGGTCTTGGCAGTGTGTGCTAAAGGCGTGTCTTAATAGTATTGCATGCTGGCTCTGAGCACGCGAGCAAACAAAGAACAAAAAAGCCAGCCCCATGGGTTATAGGGTTCATGATTTAGGGTTTGGGTTTCATGCCAAGGTTCCGAAAAACCTAGAAGAAAGGAGAGCCTGATCGGTGTTGCTGTCCTGTTTTGGCTGGATATTCGATGGGAAACGTTTGCCTTGGTTGTTGTTTGCTGCGTATACAAGAGTTAAGAGGTTTCTGAAGAGGCTTAGAAGCTGAGCGGCTGACCAGTGGAGTTGCAGAAAGGATTTGTGTCTGTGTCCTTGATGTGGTTCAGGATCGACTCGCTGACCGATCCCGAAATCCATCTCACCAACATTCCCTTTCCCCAGCAGTTGTTTGAACTTGCCGAAATCCCCTTTGCAGTGGACTACTCCAACATAGCCAAGGTGGGGCCCGAGAGCTACAACTAGAAAAGCACAGGGAGCACAATGCCTCGTATTTCTTTGCCGATCTCAACAGCTGCTTCATTATGAGTAACAACGCTTCAGGCGATGTTTTCTCCTTGGAGGCTGACGTGAATCGGTTGATGGGCGTTTTTTCTTTTTGCAGGTCCGGGCGAAGTTTTCTTGGCAGACATTCTTCGGAACGCCAGGCGCTTACCCATTTGCAATTGAGGCAGAAGACCTCGAAATTCGGTAGGCATAGATCATGGACTGGGCCTCTTGTTGCATATGTGCTGCTTCGTCTGCATCTGCTCCTTCTGCTACTGCCTCTACTGCCGCTCCTGCTGCTGCTGTGCGAGGCCTACTGGCAACAACTGGGGTGGCATCTCTCCCTACTCGGCTAGGCTAGAGGCCTCATTTGTTGCATCGTAGAGTTTAGGAGACTGTACCGCAGGCTAAGGAAGGCGGATGGTTTGTTCTATCTAGCCTCTTGAAATACTTGTGGGTAGCACTGGGATTTGTGATTTGCATCTGCAACGCTTTGCCTACAGGATTCGCCTGCTGTATCCGAGTGAATGGAACAGCGAGTTCTGGCGCGACAAGATCTTGAAGTCGAAGCTGAAACGGACGGTTCTGTGGGAGCGGTTTGCCTCGCTGCTGGGATCGGCTCAAGGAGACAGGTCGTCAGTTGCGCAGACCATAGAGCCAAGGATCGTTAACTCCTTGGCCATTCGAGTCCGCAACATCCATCTGCATATTGTTGATGACAACTTGGGAGCGACGCCATGGGCGTTCGAGGTTAGACAATACAGCATCAAACAAACGTGCCCGCCAGCCCCATGAGTTTTGCGCATGCGTGTAGTAATTGTTGTGTGGGCGACCTCGTCTACAGGGTGCCCCGGGTTCCCGCGGGGCACCGTGACGGCCTCTTGCCTACTTAGCACCCTTCTTCACATGGTGTTGCATCCTGCGCGCTTCTTCACATATTACGGAAATTCTTTTCGCTCTGTAGCACCGTACACGGATGAGAGTGCAGGGGAAACATGCTCTGGGTTTTAGGAGAAGCTTGAGTCGATTGATTCCCTAGGGAAAACCACTATGTGTTCAGACAGAGGTCTTCCGTTTGCAAACACCATTGCACATTTAGAAAGGGGTGTGTGTCTTTTTTCTCTTTGCTTTGCTGCAGTGCCATGTTGATGAGTTTTGTATTGACTCCCCCAAACGGGGGGACCCCCGCATCTCTGAAATGGAGGCCACAGGTGACTTGGCGGGAACCTTCTGCATCTCTAAGACAGCTTTTGCTAGATTTGAACTTCAGGGCCTTTGCAAATGCTCTTGAAATGCAGAACATGTTGCATGCAGAGATTTCTGATGAGTTGAGTTTATTGAAGACTCGTATCTGGTTCCGCTGTTTGTACTTGCAGGGCTCGAACAGTGCCTTATGATGGGCCTTTGGATGCGGTTCGTGGGGCTGCATATTTGGTACAAGGAATTTCCGAGACCCCAACTTGAGGGCAAGGCGGGGGTTTCTGTCAACATTGACAGAGTGCGTATCTCCCTCTGCCCAAGCTCACCTCTTAACCCATGCAGCATATCTACTGCTTCTACTTCAACCCCCACTCGACTGTAGTCGCTATCCCCAAGTCACTGTTTTATGCGTAATGCCTTGATACGGAGTATATGAAGGAGCTGATCTCTGATTTCGTGCTGAAGGCTGGGTAGCAAGAGATACATGTTGTGCGTGTCGCTGATTGCCACTGCATTTGCAGGCTCGGGAGTTACGTCGTCGCCTTCGGCGGAATCCCAAGGATGAGGAGGCGCAGCAGCTTCTCTCAAAGTTACTGCGAAAGGACACGGATTCGCCAAAGACTGTTCCTTCGTCTAGTGGGGGTAGGGCGGAAGAAGCTGATGCAGCAGGCATAACAGCGCATGCTGCAGCTGCTGGGGCTGCTTTTGCTGCTGCTGCTTGTAACCCCGCTGGAATGTCAGAGGCCCAGCACAGACTTTCCAGGTTCGGGGCGGAGTCGAATATTCGGGAGCGAGCGAGAGCCGGTGCTGAGGCTGGCATGGACGAGGGAGCGCTTGCGAATATGCTGAGCAAAGAAATCCAGGATACTCTGAACATTGAAGATCAAAACATCTCCCTTTCCCTCGCCTCGAGATTTCTCAAGTGGTGGCGTGGTGAGTGCTAGTGTGTGCCCTTCTACCCCGAGACTGTTTCCTTCAGCGATAGCTGGTTTCTGATCATTTGCTGCAGTAGCTGCAGGTTAACTTTTGCGGGGTTCTTGATGCTCTTTGTATGCATGCAGGTAAACAGCCGCTTCCCACGCCTGACGGGACGGACGAGCTGCTGTTGTCTCCACTGACCGCTGAAACCATCCTCAACACAAGCGGAGCGTTGGGGAAGAACACTGTATCTGAAGCTGGGGCCATCACGCAGCCGACATCATCGTCAGCTGCAGCTGTCTCGGACACTCCAGCAGAAGCAACAGGTGTAGCCATTGCAGCTAACACCGCTGCAGCTTCGGCAGAAGCTGCAGCGGAAGCAGCTGCCAAGGCGAATGCAGTAGCAGCAGCAACTCTCCACAACAATGAAGAAGACAGCGACTCCAGCGGCAGCACCAAGAGCAGCGCTGACACAGACGCAGACCTTCTGAACGGAGTGAGGGCCTCCAGGGCCTTCAAAGTCGTTCCTTCGCAGATCAAGGACCTTCTAGACGAGAACACGCATGCAATGCGTGTGACCCCGAAGAAAGGAATTGAGAGTACGCTTAGTATATTTAGACAGTATACAGGATTGCCTTTGTTTCTAATACTTATCAAAGACAGGCTAAGCTAGCTTGGGGGCAGTGGGTTGCGCATTGGCCTCCTTTGCTGTCGCGTGTAACCGGCGCAGCCCTTCAACTTTAAGTGGTGGTGTTTAAGATGTATTAGTTATTACTGTTGAGTCCCGGTCATACATATTACTAGACCCCACGGAGAGTTCGTGTGTTTCGTTCTTATGGGCTGCTGAGAGGGGTCAGGCATGCTGTAGGTGTACAAGTGTTTCCTTGCATTGTATGTGTGGGCGTTGTCTGTTGTTCGCGTTGTGTGGCGTGTTGTATCAGTGCATATTCTGTTCAAGAAGTGGGAGCTGCGGGCATTGGGGTCGAACCTAGCTGTGAACAAACAGAGCTGGAAAACCGTGGAGTTGTCGTTCCTGCACCATGACCCAAGTCTCTACTCTCCCCTCCCCAGCACCGATCGCCCGGCTGACCAACAAAGTAATCCTGTAGAAAGACAGGAGCCGCCTCCCCCGGTGTTTGACGGCAGTATGGAGCACAAGCCCTTGCAGCTGACGCTTACATCTGCAGCTATAACGTCGCTTTTCAACTTCGTGAAGCTCATCGATGTTTGGTATATCTTCCTCAAGGGCGCGGCTAGGCCCACCAGGTCTGTCATCAGTCTGATTCCTCTGCAGCACTTTGTTGCATCTTTCCCTCATACTGTATTCGAGCTGATATATGTGCACAGGTATCTGATATCCGGGCTGAATGTTTCATGCTAAGATAATCTGAGACGGGTGGAATTTCTTGTTATGCTCTCAGGCTGGTGGCGCGTGAGGAGGAGTGCGCGACGTACGTGGAGATGTGGAAGAGGCGGCTCACCGCAAAGGTGAGATAAGCTGATAAGAATACGATTGGCTGCTGTATAGAATTGTTTCTTTGCGAAACCTGGCGTTGCCCTGTAGAGATAAACTCACGCCTGGTATTTATAAGAATTCCCTTTGTACGAACTAGAAGTGCAAGTTCACTGTTGTGTGCGTCTGTTTCGGATCAGGCGGAGATGCGAGAAGTTGTGGATCGCTTCATTTCAGATTTCGAGCATAGCAGTCCATTGTATTTGATCCTTAAACTAAGACAGGTTCGTTGACAGGTGTAGTTGTAGTGTCGTTTTGCCCCACCAACTGGAAAAGGCTGCTTTGCTAGGCTAGAGAAGTCTGCTGTGGGGCTAGTTAAGTGTCGTAGAGGGCATTGAAAGTGGCACTAGTTCCTTTGATGCAGCTTGCTGCAAACTCGTGCTGAGGCTGTGAGCCTGGCTCGAAGGGATAGACGAGGAGAACAGAGACAAGGAATCTCTGGGGGAGATGCGAGACATGAGGGGGTTTCGGCAGCTGTTTGAAAGTGAGTGTCGTTTTTGTTGGTGCTTTATGCGCAGCTGGCAGAAGACAATTTGACTTGGAGGGATGGAGTCAGCGCTGCGGTGCTGCAGAAGCAAATATTCGGTCGCTTCACGGAGGCGTGTTGCCGCCCCCAGCGCCTGGGGAGCATGCAGTGGGCCACAGGCGAGACCGCAGAAACCCGCATAGACGACGGAGGAGATTTCGAGTTTACAGACCGCGAGAGGCTGCTGTTTGAGGACATTGCATGCACGATAGACGATGCCACAGGCGATGATCGGGGGGGCTTCGGAGGCAAACGGTGGTTCTATATAGACGGTATAACGCAGGTGATAGCCCCAAACATATGCCTCCGTCTGTTGCCTCTAGTGCAGCCCGGCATGCACATAGCCGCGCCAACCAACTTGCAATGTCAAGAGAAGAACTGCAAGCCAAAAGGAAGTTTCAGCAGGCTCGGGACGCTGGGACTGTTAGAAAGGCTGGAGGCGCAAAAGGGGTTGGAGGGCAGCTCACCAAACACACAGACCGAGCACTTGCCCCCCACAACTCTGATGTTTCGTATCTGCGCGGACTTCAAGTTTCGCCAGGAGAAGAGAAATGATTTTTTCAAGTGTCACGATATATTTGTTGATTCAGTTTTCGTTGAAAAGGGTTTTGCATCACTCAAGGCGAAGGCTTGCGACGAAGCAATTTCGTTACGCGCGCGCCACAAACCTGAACTGCAGGTACACCCAACGCCCTGCTGCTGCTCACAGTGTTGCCGTGCTGCATTTGACGCCGGAGAGACTTGCACTGCAGTAGTCGTTGCATCTTTTATAGGAGCTTCTGCATGCGGCCTTGAGGTTTATCTCACCACCATGCGTAACTTGTACTTTTTACCTGTGTGTTTCAGACTCCGTTTCCTGGTTTACTCGTGTTCGCTTCTCCACTAGGGGACATGGGGTGCACCACCTGCGTGTACTTGCCTGCGGACCCCCCGTCCCGCGTTGGGTGGGGCATCGGCCCGGCGCGGCCGCCGTTGAGAGGCCGTGGGGGGGAGCTGATCCAACGCACTGCCTCTCACGGAGAGGATTTGTACGGAGATTTGGAGGCAGCTAGGAGAGGTACAGATTCCCCCACTGGCTCTACCCAGCGGGGACGGTCTCCAGCTCGTGGGCAGGTTTCTGGGGGGCAAACTTCTCCTATTGGTAGCCCCACGGAATCTGAACAAGGGAAACGGAATGCCTCGTCATCAAGCCAGCAATCGGTATCTCACAGGATTCGGCCTTCTCGGGTTTACTCGAATATTCACTTACTATTCAACAGGGCTAAGCACCTTGCAGACATGGTCAAGCAGAAACAGACGAAGCCCACCACCAAGGGGCACACTGGTGCTCCTAGGAGGCGGGGATCCATTGGGGGCGATAAGAGCCGCACGCTGTTGGTAAGCATCAGCAGCAAGACAGTATGGGACGAAGAGCTGGGCGGGCCACTTGAAAAGAAAAAGACTTGGATCAATATCCCAGAAATTTCAGTTTCTGCCCCGGAGCTTATTCCATTTGCTGAGGCTATCCCGGTGAGGCCACAGTTGTTTCGGGGTGTACACTTGATGAAGCCGTTTGTGTTTCAAAAAAAAAAAAAAAAAAAAAAAAAAAANAAAAAAAAAAAAAAAAAAAAAAAAAAAAGTGAGAAGGGTTTTATTCGCATGCTGGGGTGCTTGTGCCGTATTGGGGTGTACGCAGATGAACTATGTTACCTGGGACCTCTTCAGGGAAAAAGACTGTCTCCTGCCGGTAACGACTGAAGATGCCATGGGCCTAGCACTGGGGTACTGCACCAACATCGACAACACTCTCAGGCTGACTGCCCAGAAGGCCACAGTAGTAAGCTTGCCTCCTCTTGTGTCGTTGTTGGTTGACTCGCATGCAGAGACAGCCCCACGTATTGCACTGAAGGATTGTTTTTTTACCGCTGTGTGAATTTGCCGGAGTTCCATAGCAGAAATTTTGTTGCGTTGTTTCTATGGCTTCAGACGTATCGCCTGTCTTCGCTTGACTACTCACGTGTGCTGTCACACTTGCGAAAAGATGCGCTGGCTGAGGCGCAGCAGCTGCAGCAACAGGCCAACGCTGAAGCAGCAGCGCGGGCAGCGGCTCAAGCAGCGGCTGTGGCTCCTGGGCGTTTCGGAACGAACCCCTGGGAGGGCCGAGTGGCTCTGAGCGACAGCGAAACTCCCAGCAGCAGTAGTTCCTCCAGCTTCAGCATGGTGAGGGGCCGCTGGAGCCAACGAGGTTGGGCCGAGCGAGCAGCAGCAGCAGCAGCAACTGGCAAGCCTCTTGCTTTTCTAGGAGAGAGGCCTCTTGATGCTCGTAGAGAGTTTGAGGCCCAGAAAAGAATGACTTCAAAGAATTCATCGGCGAGTCAAACACTCTCAGATCCTCGTTCTGAGAGTTTATCTCTTTCAGATTCTTTTCTGTCTCCGTCTTCAAGTGAAATAGGACTAAATGGTGCTGCTGCATCTGCTGCTGGCCTTTCTCGGTTGCGGGGCTCAGGGCCCAGTGAACAAGCTGGGGGCTCAGAGAGCACAGAAGAGAACTCAGATGAAGAGGAGATGCTAGAAAGTTGCGGGGTAACACCGCTGAGAGCTGGTGGCTCAAGAGAAGCTATGCTGGCAGACGTAGACTATGAGCCCGTGGAGGCCCACGGCTTCACCTCTGCGTGTTGCGGCCTCAAGGCCTCTGTCTCTACATTCCGGCTTTCTCATACAGTTATGAAGCGGAGAGGTTCTGTTGCTGGGCACTCTCTGCATGCATCATTTGAATCAGCAGAAGCTGCAGTCATGGCCCAGTCCCCAGACGCCAGCTCTATCCCTTGCGCCACCACAGACTGCACGGTTCTATCCGTCTTCGATCTCAATGTCAGTTCCCCTCTTTATCATTCTCTCTTTTCTTTCCTTCACTGCTTTCCTTTGGCCTCTTCACACTGTAGCCACTAAGACTGATAAAACACCTGCGGCTTGAATGCTCACAGACTTAAAACACACGGGTGTGGAGACCTGACGCCTTTTCAGTGTACTGTATATATATATAATATATATATATATATATATATATATATATATATATATATATATATNTATATATATATATATATATATATGCATACATGTATATATATGATTTGTTTGTGCGTGTTTGCCCACAGGTTGGAACCACCAAGTTGCCGCGGCAAACAGTGGACGTGTCTGTGGGTCGCGTGAACGTCGGCGTGTGCAGGCAGTTGGTGTCGCTGGCTGCATGCAGGCGTTTCCTGGTGCCCACATCTTATCCTTACAGCGACTCTCTGCGTGACACGAAGCTGTTGTCTCTGAAGCTGGCCCAGGTTGCTTCTCTTCAGCGGAAAAGTATGCATGCAAAGCCCTTGAAGACACCCCATCAGGAGCCCCAACCCTCGCAGCAGCAACAGCAGCGAGCTGCTCCAGGTGCTGATGAGCAGGCGGGCAGCGCAGCTTGCCCAGAAGAAGTTTCAGTGTGGCCGGGGGGCGCCGATGCAGCAGCAGCGGCACCGCCAGCAGCAGCAGGAGTCGAATCAGAGAATGCTGGTGACGATGAGGGTGCAGCAGCACCAAGGAATCCTGCAGCCAAGGAGCCGCGTGAGGTTGGAGGCCACAGCCATCAGCCCACTGAAGAGAAACCCGTCGACGCCTTCCTGCCTGTACCCACCAGCGGGCCCTGGGCTGCATGCGGTAAGCAGCGCATGCAAAGCGCGGTGAAGTGTTTTCTTGCTTTTTGTGAAGACCCATCAGGAGTAGTGTGTGACCGAGACCTTCACATATATATATATATATATATATATATATATATATATATATATATATATA